CCTACCTGGGTTGAGATCCACCCCAGCCACGGCTCTTGGGAAGGCCCAGTCCCTGCACCCCATAGGTCTTCCTCAGGAGGACCACAGCTCAGAGTCACCCATCTTCAGCCACAGGACTTTGCTAGAGCCAGGGCTAAAGCTGAGAGATCTGGGGACAGGGACCCCAGCTCGGGAAACAGCCTGTGTCCAAGGGTTGGGGGTGGGGCGTTGTAGTCATCATTAGAAAGGTGCTTGGTGCCCATGTTGTTCCCAGCAACTGCCCCACGGCAGCTCTGTCAACATTTAAGTATGAGTAACACCTTCTCTGTTTAAAGTCTGTACATGCAGCTGTGAGACCTCAACAGGGTCAACCCGGCCTCCCTGGACCAGTGCGGGCCTCTGGTACTCTCACCAGCCCCCAGCTGCCAGGCCCAGGGCAGCCCTGCTGCACACATCAGGGCTGGGTTGGCCGGGAAGGGCTCTAGGCGGCCTGAGCCATTCCTGCCCGGCTCCTTCCAGCTTTCTGCTGCTCTGGAGCGCCGTCCTCATCATGTACCCCACCAGCCTGGCTGTCATCTCAATGACCTTCTCCAACTACATGCTGCAGCCCGTGTTCCCCAACTGCATCCCCCCTGCCGCAGCCTCCCGGATGCTGTCCATGGCCTGCCTGAGTAAGCATCACCCTTGGGCCTCTCCCCAGACCAGCCGCCTGCTCGGGCGGCCCCACCCTGCCCAGAGCGGGAAGACAGCAGGGTGAGATTTTCCCTTTGAGTGTAGGGTTCTTGCATTCCAGCTGCTGCAGGGGATACTATTCTTGGGCCACCTGGGCTGGACTTGGCTGTGGTCCGCTATGAAAGGTCCCAGCCTCAGTGCCCACCCCTGCCTTCCCTCCACAGTGCTCCTGACGTGGGTGAACAGCTCCAGCGTGCGCTGGGCCACACGAATCCAGGATGTGTTCACAGGTGGGAAGCTGCTGGCCTTGTCTCTCATCATCGGCGTGGGCCTTCTGCAGATCTTCCAAGGTAGGGCCGAGTGGGGGTGAGGGCCAGGCTGGGGAGACAGTGCTGACCCCCGATTTCTGGGGCCCCCCAGGACATTTCGAGGAGCTGAGGCCCAGCAATGCCTTTGCCTTCTGGATGACGCCCTCCGTGGGACACCTGGCCCTGGCCTTCCTCCAGGGCTCCTTCGCCTTCAGTGGCTGGAACTTCCTCAACTATGTCACCGAGGAGATGGTTGATGCCCGAAAGTGAGTGGGGCCCCTGACCAGGCCCTGGGAAATAGCCAGGCCCTCTGGTCGGGGTAGGGGAGCTCGCACTCTAGCCTGGCCCTGTTCTCTCTGGCTATGGACACATCACAGCCCCTTACAGGGCCTCAGAAAGGCTGAATATCATCATCCTGCTGTAAATAGATCAGAGATTTGCATTTGGCCTAAAATGATGCATATGCACACAATATGGTCCCTACGAATGAAGCCAATGACTGCGTCTGATGCTCAGCCAGCAATCCCAAGAGCAATCTTTGCAGCTGAGCAGCTGGGACTGGAGAGTTCCAGGAAGACCCTTGGTCTACGGAGTGCACTCTGGGGCTGTTTTGGGGAATTTTCCAGGCTGATTTTGCTGTATGCGATTTCGTCATCCTTGGGATGTGATGGGGTCCCTCCCCCATCTCCCATCCTACTGGCCTGTGTCCAGGTGGGGGTGGGGAAGGTCAGACAGCATCTTCCCTATGTCCAGGTGGGGGTGGGGAAGGTCAGACAGCATCTTCCCTATGTCCAGGTGGGGGTGGGGAAGGTCAGACAGCATCTTCCCTATGTCTTGGGCAGCAATGCTGCCCCTTTCCTGCCCCAACACCCTCAGCAGACATAAGACATGGAGACTATCAGCTGCTCCCGTGGCTGGATCTCTGGGGCCCTGCACCCTCAGGAGCTGACACTGACACATTCCACTGCCTGCCCCCAGGAACCTACCTCGTGCCATTTTCATCTCCATCCCACTGGTGACCTTCGTGTACACCTTCACCAACATAGCCTACTTCACAGCCATGTCCCCCCAGGAGCTGCTCTCGTCCAATGCGGTGGCTGTGGTGAGTGGTCCCTTGCTCGGTCCTCAGCTCCTGCCCAGGCCCCTGCCCCAGCCTCACACATGGCCTCTCTCCTGTGCCCACTCAGACCTTCGGGGAGAAGCTGCTGGGCTACTTTTCTTGGGTCATGCCCGTCTCCGTGGCACTGTCAACCTTCGGAGGGATCAATGGCTACCTGTTCACCTCCTCCAGGTAACTGCACTGGGGAAGAGGTAAGCGTGGGGAGGGAAGGCTGGGGTGCAGGAGTGCGCCAGTCATGCTGGGGGCCAGAAGAAGGGAAACCTGCTAGGAGAGGGGTCCGCCTGAAGCTGGGGTGATGATCCCACCGGAAACAAGTGTCTGATCACAACTGGGAAGCAAAGCAAGAGGGAGGCCGGTTGGACGAGGGGAAGAACTGCCCAGCGGGGGATCAGAGGGGGAGGTCAGAAGCAACTTCAGAGGGATATCAGGTCTAGAGCCGAGACCCAGGGTGTGGCCGGTGCCCATCTCTTTCCCCGATGGTAGGCTGTGCTTCTCTGGAGCCCGAGAGGGGCACCTGCCCAGCCTGCTGGCCATGATCCATGTCAGACGCTGCACCCCTATCCCTGCCCTCCTCGTCTGCGTAAGTTGGGGAACCTGGGCTAGGCAGGGCGTGGAGGCAGGGCTACCCGGCAATGTGGGACCTTCCGGGTAATGGCAGGGGCGAGCCATTCCGGGGCAGGGGTGTGGGGTGGGTCCAGGGCTTATCCTGCAGGGGCAACAGGAGGCAGGCTGGGGTCCGGTCGTCAGCCCCAGGTCCTCTTCCAGTGCGGGGCCACCGCTGTCATCATGCTCGTGGGCGACACATACACACTCATCAACTACGTGTCCTTCATCAACTACCTCTGCTATGGCGTCACCATCCTGGGCCTGCTGCTGCTGCGCTGGAGGCGGCCAGGGCTCCACAGGCCTATCAAGGTGAAGCCCCTGGGATGGCTGGCCCCTGTGCCAGGTGCTACTGGAGCCACCCCTGCATCCACAGTGGGCACCAGGGGCAGGTGGGGTGGGAGGTGCCAGCTTTTGCAGAGTGTTGGGCCCTGCTCAGGGCTCTCCTTCCACTGAGGCACCCACTCCTCATAGCAGCCCCATGTGGTCAGTGATTTGAATGCCCCCAGTGTATAGATGGGGACAGCATGAGGCTCAGGGCCGGGCGCAGGGGCTCACGCCCATCCCAGCCCTTTGGGAGGCCGAGGCAGGAGGATGGCTTGAGCCCAGGAGTTTGAGACCAGCCTGGGCAACATAACAAGACCTCCTTTCTGCAAAAAAATTAAAAATAAAAGGATTAGCCTGGGGTGGTGGGGTGAGCCGGTGGTCCCAGCTACCTGGGAGGCTGAAGTGGGAGGATCCCTTGAGCCCAGGAGGTCGAGGCTGCAGTGAGTGGTGCTAGGGCCACTGCACTCCAACCTGGGCAACAGAGGGAGACCCTTCCTCTAAAAAAAGTTAAAGAAAACAAGACTCAGGAACTGTTCAAGGTCACAAAGCCTGCCAGGATTGCATGAGCCCGAAAAACACAGAAGACCGTAGCCTGAGCAAAGCCCCACTAGGCTCAGTGGCTCATGCCCGTAATCCCAGCACTTTGGAAGGCCGAGGCAGGCGGATCACAAGGTCAGGAGATTGAGAATCAGCCTGGTCAACATGGTGAAACCCCATCTAAAAAATACAAAAATTAGCTGAGCATGGTGTCACATGCCCATAGTCCCAGTTATTCAGGAGGCTGAGGCAGGAGAATCACTTGAACTAAGGAGGTGGAGGTTGCAGTGAGCTGAGATCATGCCACTGCACTCCAGCCTGGCAACAGAGCGAGACTCCATCTCAAAATTTAAAAAAAGCAAAGCCCCCCCACCATGTGTGTATAAATTCTTAAGTGGAGAAGTGCTCAGTGCCTGAAATTTAAAACACCAAAAAATCACTCACCTCCAGCCAAGTGCAAGTGTCAAGTCCACAGGCAACCACTGTGTGGAGCTCCGTGCCGCTGAGACTTTGAAATGTCCTCAGCAAAACTGGCCAATGGCCCGACCCACGAACTGGCCTCCAAAACACTGGGTTGTCACCAAGAGGGGATGTAGTTGAGCCCCAGCTCCCAGGAAAGGGAGGAAACCCCCCCCAAGGGTCAGAGTTGTAGAGAGCTGGGGTCTCTGCACCATCGGTGTTCCTGCTACCCCTTCCCCAGGTGAACCTTCTCATCCCCGTGGCCTACTTGGTCTTCTGGGCCTTCCTGCTGGTCTTCAGCTTCGTCTCAGAGCCCATGGTCTGTGGGGTCGGCATCATCATCATCCTGACAGGGGTGCCCATTTTCTTTCTGGGAGTGTTCTGGAGAAGCAAACCAAAGTGTGTGCACAGACTCACAGGTAAGCCAGGCAGCCGCAGGTCACGTGGCACAGGGGGGCTCACAGGTGAGCCAGGCAGCCACAGGTCACGTGGCACAGGGGGCTCACAGGTGAGCCAGGCAGCCACAGGTCACGTGGCACAGGGGGCTCACAGGTGAGCCAGGCAGCCTCAGGTCACGTGGCACAGGGGGCCGGGGCCTGCGGACCGGACCTCCTTCTTAGAGGCTCGCCCAGAGCTGGGTGTCGTAGCAGCCGAGGTGGGAACACAGGGCCCAGTCGCTGCCAAATGGCCCTCCCCAAGATGTACCCCAAGTTTCCAGAACCCACGCGTACTGATGGAGCAGCTCCCTGAAGACCCCTGCCCAACGGGAGTTGTCCGGAGCTGGGGGTCACCCCCATCCCACAAGGTCAGGGCCCAAGGTCCATCTGTCTGTCCTCAGAGTCCATGACACGCTGGGGCCAGGAGCTGTGTTTCGTGGTCTACCCCCAGGACGCCCCCGAGGAAGAAGAGAATGGCCCCTGCCCACCCTCCCCGCTGCCCGCCACAGACAAGCCCTTGAAGCCACAATGAGATGTTTGTAGAGACTGAAGCAGCTGTTTCTGTTTACATGTTTATTGAGGAGATGTTTGGCAAAAAAGTTTTTTTTTTTTCTGGAAAAAAAAAAAAAAAGATATGACTCTTAGAAGCCTGTTTTAAGGAAGCTAAAATGTGGACTGGGTCTCCCGTGTTAGCGCTGCCCTGCTAGCTTTTCCTGAAAAGGCCTATAAATAAACAGGGCTGGCTGTTCGCTCGTGCTATGGGGAGTCCCTGATGGGCACAGACGGGGCCAGCTGGGGTGCACCTCAGTGGGTGCTCTGGAGGAGGCTCTCAACATTTGGGGGCTTTGCCACTTGACACAGGCACTCCTTACCATGGCACCCAGAGTCACCCTTGCCCAAAGGGACATCTAGGATGGGGGAGCAGCTCAGTCCACCCCTCCCCCAGGTCCTCCATGCCAGTCTAAGCTTGGCCACCCAGGAGAACTCAGGGGCTCCCGGCTGGGATTGTCTTTCCTCCTGTAAATCACAGAGTGAAGGTCAGGACTTCAGAGCCTACAGTCACACCCTGGCTTACAGGTGGGGAAACTGAGGCCCTGAGATAGGATGGAATGAATGTGGCCACTGCTGTTGGTGCCCTGGCCTCTCTGTCCCCAGAAAGCAGAGAGTAGCATGTCCTGGGGGCCTCGAGGCCTGCAGGGGACTCCAGGGGCTTCCTGATGCCAGATACACACACCCCAGCCCTGCCACAGTACTCAGGAGATTAGACCCTTAGGGAGGGCGGAGGGCACCCGCCTGGCCAGGGACATGAGGGTTCGCAGGAGCTGCCCAACTCGGCTCCTCCAGGAGCCCTGTTGGACAGGAGGAGGGCGAGGCGTGGGCAGAACAGTCACCGTGGATGAGATCCAGCGTCCCCACGGCCCGGCTCCATCCTCACGACAACTCCCAGCTCTGGGGACGACAGGTGCCACTGCAGGGCGGATGAAGCAAAAAGGCTCTGGCCCCTGCTTCTCCGGAAATGGGTTCCCAGAATGGAGTCGGGGTAGAGAAGTGAGACCCCAGGGTGCTGTGTACACTGGGACCTTACAGACTGAACTCAGTGGCTTACCAGTCCTCCCTTCCCCATGTTCAGTCCCAGAGCTCCCGCCCACCATGCCCACCACTACAGCCAGCTGGCTGAGGGCCCAGCCCCTCCGCTGGGGGCCCCGGAGGGCCTCTCCGTAAGAAAGGACGCAGAGGCAGGGTAGAAATGACTGTGTATTCCCTGGTTACAAAGCGGGGCTGTGGCGGTCACCAGCGTACCCAGCGGTCAGCAGACCAGCAGGGCCTCATCGTCGCTGGCCTCCAGCATTGGGGAGCAGTGGGGCGGGGGGCTCCTGCAGACCCTCAGTGGCTCTGGTGAGTGGGGGCTCAGGGTGCTGCTGGCAGTGGAGGCCTGGGGGTGCGAGTCCTGGGCTGAGCAGGGCTCCCGAGGTGCATCCACAGGAGCTGGGCTGTCTGCCAGAGGCTCCCTGCAGGCCTTTCTGTCCTTGTCCATGGGCCTACACTCTGGGTCTTGCAGGCCCAAGGGCAGGGGTGGCCCTGAAGGTCCCACCTCCAGTACGTGGCCGGGGGCACTGGGGGGTCCATCTCTGGCCGCCCTGGGGCTGCCTGTGTCCATGAGGGGTGCCGGGGGGTTGGGGGCAGCCTCTGGTGCAGGCTGGAGAAGCCCGTCGCCCAGCACGGTCTGTGAGGGGCGTGCCGCGGTCAGCAGCGGGATCTGGCCTCGGGGCGCCCGTGGCCGGTGAAAGAGCCGGTTCCAGAGGCGGCCAAGACGGCGGCGAGAGGGCCCCCGGCGGGAGGCATGCCTACGCATCTGTCTCCGCATGGCCGTGCGAAGATTCTGCAGCACGGAGGCCTGCGGAGTGGGCGGGGGTGGGGGGGCGGGGGGGTGGCTGAGGGGGCAGGCAGCCAGGCTGCTCAGGAGCAGGGGTCAGCACACCCCCCCAAGTGTCCCCAAGGGACGTGAGACCCGAAAGACCACCTTGTACACCCCTCATTTGGCTGTGGGCCCCCAGGTCACCCTGCCCAGACCTTGCCTCCTGCTCCTGTGACCCCTGGACGGCCTCCTCTGCACTGTCCCACCCAGCCCCGCTGTCTTGGGCCCTCTCAGGTCCAGTTTGAGGCCTGGCCTGGGAGGGGTCTCATGCCCTCTGGGCTCACCTGGGATGCACTGTAGACAGGAAAGTCCTCCACGGGTGGAATGAGGCCCTGGGCAATGAGCTGACCATAGGACGGGGGTGCCTCCCGCCGCACGAACTCAGCCTCCAGGCGCGTCATCTGGGTCTCAAAGGCCCTAGAAGCAGTGGGCGGAAGAAGACATGGTGGGGCTGCCGGGTGCCTGCAATGGCAACAGGACTCTGGGACAGCCCTCCACCCGGGCATCCCAAGATGTAGGGACCCCAGTGTGCACTGAGGCAGCCTCCACGTGGCTGGCCCATGTCCCTGTTTGCCAACCCACAGCTGCAGGGACAGTAAGCCTGGGCAATGAAGAAGCCCAGTCCCCTGGCTGTGAGCGCAGCACCCACCTGTACTCCTGCGTGCGAAGTGAGTAGAGCTTGAAGGCACAGCCCAGTGCGATGACCAGCAGCAGGCCACACACCAGGCTGCCGATGAGCGCCGCCGTTATGACCTTTCGGGGCACAGCGGCCAGGCACCCATGCTCATCGCTGCCATCCTGGCAGTCCTCCTGGCCGTCACAGCGCCACGTCTCAAAGATGCACAGGTTGGTGCCGCAGTGGAAGGTGCCAGGCTGGCAGGAGAAGCAGTTCTTTTCATCGGCGCCATCGGGGCAACTTTTCTGGTTGTTGCAGCGGTCAGCAGGCGCGTAGCACAGACCACTGCCACCCTCACAGGGGTACTGGTCGGGCGGGCAGGCGGGGCAGCCCTGCTCATCTCGGCCGCTGGCGCAATGCCACCAGCCGTCGCAGCGCTGTGGCTCTGAGAAGCAGCCCTGGTCGCCCGCACTGCCCCCGTCATCGTCACTGCTGCTCCCGCATGGCTGTTCCCAGGGGAGGCAGTAGCCCTTCACCTGGTAGGTGGCATTGAAACCGTGGCCGGCGCTGCGGGCGCGTGCATGGTAGGCCACAGTGAGCCGGCCCTGGGCAGCCTCCAGGCTCACAGGCCGGTGGTTGCTGCGGTAGGACAGTGTCTGCAGCAGGCGGTCCCCGCGCTCGCCCAGGCCCTCGTATACCTGCACGTAGTCATCGTAGCCCAGCCGCAGTTCCAGCTGCAGCAGCACCCGCCGCGATTCCTGCGTGTCCACCAGCCACGTGCAGTGAAGGTCCGAGGGCCCACGGGCCGCGCCAAACAGGTCGGGGGAGGCAAAGGAGCCGTAGAAGCTGCCCAGCCGCCGGCCACACGCCAGGTCAGGGCAGCCTGCCTCGTCAGAGCCATCGCCACAGTCCTGCAAGCCGTCGCAGCGCCGCTCCACTGGCAGGCAGCGCGTGGAGCGCGCCCCGCTGCACGGGAAGGTCCCCCCGGGGCACAGGCTGCCCGGAGGCTCAGAGGCGGGCGCTGAGCAGTTGCCCTCGTCAGAGCCGTCCCCACACTCATCCACGGTGTTGCACTGCCATGGGCCAGGCAGGCACTTGCCATTGTCACAGCGGAACTCATCTGCCTGGCAGGATGCCTGGCCCAGCTTCCCTGTGGGGTGGAGAGGTAGCAGGGGAAAATCAGGGGGCAGAAAAGCCTCCTTCCAGCCTGGGGGCCTGGGGCCAGAAGCGGGCAGGTGGTGGAGGCAGAGACCCCCCAACACCAGGGTGGGCTCAGTCCCTGACCTGAGCCTGGGGTTAGGGGTGAGTTCCCACAACTAGCCAAGACTGGGAGGTGGGGCCAGTGACCTTGAGAGTCCAAGGCATCCAGCATGCCCAGTCCTGCCACTGTCCTGAGATTGACAGGACAGTCGAGGGACACCCTGTGGGAGCCGGGGCCCTGTGGAGAGTGCTGCCCCTGCAGGTGGGAGCCTGTGGGCATGCATGATGTGCTCCTTGGTGTCCTGCCCACCCTGCGGCCTCCATCACCTCGGATGTAAGACAGACGGAAGCCCTGGGCCTGGCCGGAGCTGGAGGCGTCTGAGTGGAAGAAAATCCAGACGTGGTCACGGGCAGAGATGAAGGCAGGTGGGATGGCGGAACCACAGAGGCGGAAGGCCTCCTGGCGGGGCGGGGCCGCTGGGCCCAGCAGGAGCCAGTCCAGGGAGCATTGGTGAGACTCCTCCACGTCAAAGTTGCGGAAGCTGTGGGCAGGGGCGGGGCGTGGAGAGGACCCAGACATGAGGCAGTAGGCGAGACTTCTGTGGCCTAGGACCAGCCGGGAGGAGTCAGGCTGGAGCCACAGCAAGGACAGCCAGCCCCGTTCCAGCTAGCCACCCCCACTCCCCATGTCCCAAACTGCCTGGTTCCTCCACTCTCAGACACTCCGTCCCCACGCTGTCCCCATCCAGGTGTACACGGGCAGCTCCATGAAGAATCACAACGTCCACGCAGGTCATTTCCAGCTCTGCCGCGGCTTCCCTTCCCTCCATCAGTGCACATGGCACCCCCAGCCCAAAGCCAAAGTGGAGCAGAAGGTCAAGAGCCCCCGGCCCTGACATTCTCCCCAAAAGGACAGAGGCCCAAGGGCCCAGACCCCTCCATCCCGGGTCCACTGGGACAGGCCCAGCACAAAGTCCCAGGCATGGGCACTGAGAGTGAGACTCTGCCCATGGAGCTGGCCGAGGCTGCAGCAGGTTGACAACTTGTCACCTCAGGAGATACACTGGCCCTGAACCAGCTGGCCCTTGGGGAAACTGAGGCACAGAGACTAGGACAGACTTTGCGCATGCTCATCACATCCTCATGTTTTGAAGCTATGGAGTAAGAGTGGGGTTGTACCTTTGGGGCTCTGGCATTTAGGAAAACTACGGCAGATGGAACCCATAGTGACACCCCAGCCAAACGTCGCCATGACCACCCCTGGCCAGGGGTTCCAGCCCCTCAGGACCACTGCTCACTGCCTGGCCCTCTTTCCCTCTGTATGTCCCTGAGGCTCCAGCACCCAGACTTTGCCCGCTTCATTCCCCTCCCAAAGGCCCCCTCCAGAAACTATGCTCTGGGCTCAGTGCTATCCTGGCCCCCAGCCACCCCTGCAGGACAGAGAGGACACCCCTGCCACCTCAGAGACATCAGACCATACCCACCCGTCCCAGGCTGTGTTTCCAGTGGTATGTGTGCTGGCCCTGCCTTCGTGGCAGGGCTGAGTGACTGAGACCCCATATACCCCATGAACGATGCTCAAAGCAGGAAGAGGTCCAGCTTGGGCACCTTGCCACAGAGGCCCATGGAGACCCAGGGCACTGGACACACTCACGTGTGTGTGTTCACATGTGCACATGCATGCTTACAGCACACACATGGTTACACCTGTTCTCTTACACCCATGCTCTCATTCATGCACTGTGCACCTGTGCAGGCATGGCTGTGCACACACATGTGCCTACACGTGCACTCTCTCACGTGTCCTTTATGTCTCCTCTGACATGGGCTTGGCCACGTCCATAGGCACATGTGTTCACATACATACACACACGTGCACTCACATATGCGCACACACCTACTTAAATGTGCTCACACACATGCACATACTACACACCTGCTCAAATACCTACACACACCTGCCTCACACATGCACACATCTGCACACACGCACACCTGCTCACAAATGCTCACACACACACCTGTTCACACATGAGCGCTCACACACACCTCACACATGTGCTCACACACATGCACGTGATCCCACACCTGTGTACACACACGTACACTCTCGGGCATGAAGACACATGCTCACACACCCCACGCATGTAGGCCCACTGTGATTCCCTCCAACACCCCCAGGCACCCCTACCTGATGGTGATCATGTCCCCACGGTCGCCCTGGATGTACCAGCTGCAGTTGGTCCCCGGCGGGTAGTTGAGGGGCCAGGCAGGGCTGTAGATGACCCCGCGCCGCTCCGTGTGCTGCTCCAGCTTCCCGCTGCAGGCCGCTGTCGGAAAGGCCGGCCCATCTTTGGTTGGGAAGCGGGTTGCGGTCGGGGGCAGGTGGGGCTTCAGCACATCCCTCCCCCATGGTAGGATCAAGTCCAGCCGAAGAATGGCCATGGCCAAGGGCAAGGCCACAACTCGGGACTTCATGGAGGTGGTGTATGGGAAGCCAAGGAGGGGCCCCTATACTCTGGGCACCTGCAGCCTATGTAGTAGGCTAGAGCCTAGGTCCTGTCCCCCGCATCTCTGGCCAGGCTGGGAGCGAACACACCAACAACCCCTCCTGGCAGCCAGAACCTCCAAGGTGTAGCCTTGTGGCCTCGGCTCAGTGGAGAAGTCTGCACCCCTGTCCGGCTGGTGTAGCCCATCCTGATAGCCCCTGCCTACTCTCCCGGGGCTTTCTCACTCAACATGTATTTACTGAGCACCTACTATGTGCCAAGCACACTGAGTAAGGCAGGAATAAGGCCTGCTCTATGGAACTCACAGACTGGGGGTGGGAGCAGATGGACTTTATGCAGAACCCCTGGGTGGAGTGAAGAAGATCCTACGACAGGGCTGCAGGGAGGTGGCAAAGTCCAGCTGTGGCTGGAAACGCAACCTGGGTCTGATCACACCCTGTGCAGAATTCGGGTTTTATCCTGAGTACAAGTGGGAAGCCACCAAAGGTAGATCTCGGAACCCGGTGAGGAAACAGGCTCAGAGAGGGTCAGTGACTTGCCTGGGGTCACACAGCTAGGGAGGGGCAGTCAGGAGTCACCACAATCCTCTGGTGGCCTCAGCTTCTAACTGCAGCACTGAGCCAACATGCATTCATGGAGTACCAACTGTATACCACTCAGGTTGAACAAAAGGCATCACAACCGCCAGCTCAAGGGAGGAGCCCTCTGTGCCCAGCCCCACTGGCCTCGATTTAACCCATGCATTCTCCATGCTCTCTGCTTCTAAACCAGCCAGGGCAGCATGGTGAGCCTGCCCTGCCCTGCTGCGCCCTGGCCCTCTTAGGACTGGGTGGCTGGCCCCTGCACTTGGCCACCTCCCCTACCCTTCACCCCCTACGACCTTTCTCCGTGCTGGTCCATCTGATTCTCACAACAGCCTGAGATAAAGGCAGGGCCCACTTTGCAGATGGAGAAACTGAGGCTCAGAGAGGTGAGGGACAACCCTTTTCCCGAGCCCAGTGACACTCCTTTCTCGCCCCCCCAGTGCTGGCCCTAGCAGAATGACCGTGCAGAGTTCTCTGGTTCTCAGCAGGACTCTCTGGGACCCAGGTGCAGAAAAGAGAGGAGAGCCCTCTGGCTGCCTCCCATGCTCTCAGGACAAAACCACAATTCACTACAGTGGCCCCAGCCCCCTCCCTGCCCCACGCTCGGCCTTGTCCCTCCCATAACCCCTAGCAGTCCCTTAAGACCTCTCCGATCCCTCACAATGGAAGGGGACTTTGCTCTGGAGGCCCTGGTGGTCCATAGTGGGTGCTCTCCCACCCTCTTATCCCATTCACAGACTCCTACTCAGCTTCCACTCCCAGCTCTGTGGTCCCTTCCCAGAGAAGCCCTCCAGGCTGCCCCCTGCAGAGCTCCTGCCCTCCGCCCCTCCCCCCAGCCTGGGCCACACCAAATTTCCCTTTTGTTGTTAAGACTGACAAATGAACGTCACACAGGAAGTCAGGGCTGGCTGTGTCTGGGACCCTGCAGGGTGCCTGAAGGATGCCAGGTGCTTCATAAATGAGGGTCCCTGAGTGGACAGGTCCATCTGAGGACCTGCTGGGCAGCTGGAGGCATGAGCTGGGAGCTGAAGCCCCTTCCCTTGGGGGTCTACTGGGACAATGAAGGTCCAGGTGACCCAGGACTCTGACTAATAGGGAGCTGGCAACCCCATGGACGGCTCATGAAAGCATCAAGGGTAAGAACAGAACTCTTGGCCCTAGAGCAAGGCTGGCCACCACCGAGTCACCATCAGACCCTTGACAGTCCCAGGTCAATGAGGTGCAAGCCAGAGTCTCTGCACCTGGGACTTACACAAGGCTCTGGGAGGCAGCCCCCACAACGAGCCTCCGATCCTGCCCCCGAAATAGAGCACTGTACTGTACAACCCGCTCCCCGCCCAGGGTGGTGAGGAGATAAACTACTGGAGAGGGATCTCAGGGTGTAGCCATCCAAACATTCAAAGCCACCCCAGCCCCAGCCCCAGCCTGGTTCCCTCTACCAGGTGAGGCCACCGGCCATGAGGACCCCACAGAGTCCTGAAGTGCCAAACTGGGATTCCTTGGGAGGTGTAGGGTTAAGAAACCCAAAAAGGCCAGGTGCAGTGGCTCACGCCTGTAGTCCCAGCACTTTGGGAAGCCAAGGTGAGCGGACCATTTGAGCTCAGGAGTTTGAGATCAGCCTGATCAACATGGCAAAACCCCATCTCTACTAAAAGTACAAAAATTAGCCGGGTATGGTAGTGGATATCTGTAATCCCAGCTACTTGGGAGGCTAAGAAAGGAGAACTGCTTGAACCCAGAGGCAGAGGTTGCAGTGAACCAAAATCACACCACTGCACTCCAGGCCAGGTGACAGAGCAAGACTGTGAAGGGAAGAAAGGGGGAGAGAGAGAGAGAAAGAGAGAGAGGGAGGGGGGGAAGGGAGGGAGGGAGGGAGGGACGGAGGGAGGGTGCCCAGCAAATTTTTAGATTTTTTTGTAGAGATAGGGGTCTCACTATGTTGCCCAGGCTGGTCTCAAACTCCTGAGCTCAAGCATCCTCTTGCCTCAGCCTCTCAAAGTGCTGGGATGACAGGCATGAACCACTGCACCCAGCCAGACTTGACATGTTTATAGAATTCCTTGTTGAAAGGCCAGGCACAGTGGCTCACGCCTGTAATCCCAGCACTTTGGGAGGCCAAGGCGGGTGGATCACGAGGTCAAGAGATTGAGACCATCCTGGTCAACATGGTGAAACCCCCGTCTCTACTAAAAATACAAAAATTAGTTGGGCATGGTGGCGCGTGCCTGTAATCCCAGCTACTCAGGAAGCTGAGGCAGGAGAACTGCCTGAACCCAGGAGGCGGAGGTTGCCATGAGCTGAGATCAAGCCATTGCACTCCAGCCTGGGTAACAAGAGCGAAATCCGTCTCAAAAAAAAAAAAAAGGAAAGAAATCCTTGTTGGAAATGGCAGTATATAGGTGGAATTAGCAAGAGCTGCGGAGGTCTGTGGGGGCTTATCAATGACAGAACTGGCTCCCTGAGGCCCCTCTCAGACTCTCCAGGCAGCATGAGGGCCCCAGGGGGCCTGGGCTTATCCACTCGCCAACCTCAGCAGCCCCTTCCTTCCAGCAATGGAGGATGGATGGACTCAGCCACCCCTCCAGCTCTTGATGGTCTTTGCAGTGCTCGGGACAAGGTCGGAGCTTAAAGACAGCCAGCGGCTGGACAGACTCACGCCAACAGGCAGAGGCGGGGGCAGGGTTCTCACTGTGTCCTCTCGGATTCTGTATGTACTTTTGGCCAAAATATTTACCTCCCTCTTGCAAGTCAGCTGCCTGGAACTCACCTTTCATGTGCAGCTGATGCAAGGCCGCGCCCTCCACCCATCTTCTTATCCAACCTCCCACACCAAGTCAATACATTCCCTGCCCTGAAGCACCTCCAAACCAGCTACTAGGCAACCAGTGAGCACCCCCATAGCCCAAGTCCAGCAGAATGACTCAATCCAGCCAATCCTAAGCTGTTTACTTTGCCCTGCCTCAACTTTCTTTTTTTTTTTTGGAGACAGAGTCTTGCTCTGTTACCCAGGCTGGAGTGCAGTCATGCCATCTCAGCTCACTGCAACCTCTGCCTCTCGTGTTCAAGCGATTTTCCTGCCTCAGCCTCCCGAGTAGTTGGGATTGTATGCATGCGCCACCACGCCCAGCTAATTTTTTGTATTATTAGTAGTGACAGGGTTTCGCCATGTTGGCCAGGCTGGTCTCAAACTCCTACGCTCATGCAATCCGCCCACCTCCGCCTCCCAAAATGCTGGGATTACAGGCATGAGCCACCATGACCAGCTGCCTCGAATTTCCTATGGAAGCCCTAATGTCGGCTCTAATGTATACCTTTCTCCCACTCCTGCTTCTGCTTGTCCAAACTTAGTAATTCCCAGGTGGCCCTGCATGGCGTGGCATGCCCCTCCTCTCAAGAAAATTAATAAAGTCTTCTTTCCGTGGCATGGGCCACTCTGTGTCATACCACCATCATACCCCCATAAAATTAAAACCTAGGAATTATTTTCAAATAGGCCAGCATCGGCTGAGCACAGTAGCTCATGCCTGTAATCCCAACACTTTGGGAGGCCGAGGTGGGAGGATCACGAGGTCAGGAGTTCAAGACCAGCCTGGCCAACATAGTGAAACCCTGTCTCTAATAAAAATAAATAAATTATCCAGGCATGGTGGCAGGCACCTGTAATCCCAGCTACTTGGAGACTGAGGCAGGAGAATCGCTTGAACCCGAGAGGGGGAGGTTACAGTGAGCAGAGATCAAGCCACTGCACTCCAGCCTAGGCAACAGTGTGAGACTCTGTCTCAAAAAAAAAAAAAAAAAAAAATAGGCAGGCATCTCACAGTGCCTCACGGACCTCAGAGAAGCCCACAGCCCGAGTGAGGGTACAAGATGTCAATTCCATGGGACCCTCAGCAGCTTGCCAGTGGTGTAAAGCCACCATATGCCAGGCACCACGTGGAGAGCTTGCCTCACTGGCTCACGGAAACCTAAGAGCCAGGTTTTGAGTAGACCTTGTTACTTCACCCACTTTACAGATGAGGAAACTGAGGCTCAGAGAAGCTGAAGCCTGTCCAAAGCCAAACAGCTCCTTTGTGATGTAGAAAAGATGAAGGTGAGAACTTGAGGTGGAGACAGGACCCTGAAGGCCTGTCCTCAGGGGCCACAAACCCAGAAGGGCCCAGAGGAAGGGAGGAAGGAGGGAAAGTGCTTACTTACCTAAGGCAGGAACCGCACTGCTGAGCCTCCCGGTGAGAAAGATGTTCACTGAGGGAGACACAAAGAGGGGGTCAAGGGTCCCAGGTACCAGCAGCCCATGTGGGACACCACAGCTAAACCCAAGGCTAGCCTACTGGTCCCCTTCCTCTTACCGGGCAAGGCCCAGAGCACAGCCCAAGCCTGCCCATCAAGAGAGCCCAACCTCACCCCACCTTCCTGCCTCCTTGCTCTGTTATCCAGGCTGGAGTGTATAGCTCACTGCAGCTTCAAACTCCTGGGCTCAAGCAATCCTCCCACCCGAGCCTCCCAAGTAGCTGGGACTACAGGTGTGGACCACTATGCCTGGTTATTTATTTTTTATTTTTGTAGAGATGAGGTCTCATTGTGTTGCTTAGGCTGGTCTCAAACTCCCGGCCTCAAGCAATCCTCCTGCCTTGGCCTCCCAAAGTACTGGGATTACAGGCACCAGCCACCACGCCTGGCCTGCTCCTGCTACTTGGAAAACTTCCCCCTCCAAGGTGCTTTGCTTGCCCAGCAGCAGCAGGGGCGGGAGGGGAGGCAGTTCTGATCATCCCCATTTACAGGGCCCATAGCTAGTGACGGAACCATGCTCTTCCCCCATGCCACGCTGACCTTGAGAAGGGAGGCAAAAGGTCCCCAGCCAGCCGTCATGTGCCCACCTCCATGGAGTTTGGCCCTTACTTTCACCTTCTGCTCTGCCCCCGGGGTTAAGCACCCAGAGAGAAGATTTGGGCAGAGTTGGGGGTCAAGTCCAACTTCCAAGGGTTAAGGATGTGGGTCTGCCCACCTCCATGGAGTTTGGCCCTTACTTTCACCTTCTGCTCTGCCCCTGGGGTTAAGCACCCAGAGAGAAGATTTGGGCAGAGTTGGGGGTCAAGTCCAACTTCCAAGGGTTAAGGATGTGGGTCTGCCCACCTCCATGGAGTTTGGCCCTTACTTTCACCTTCTGCTCTGCCCCCGGGGTTAAGCACCCAGAGAGAAGATTTGGGCAGAGTTGGGGGTCAAGTCCAACTTCCAAGGGTTAAGGATGTGGGTCTGCCCACCTCCATGGAGTTTGGCCCTTACTTTCACCTTCTGCTCTGCCCCCGGGGTTAAGCACCCAGAGAGAAGATTTGGGCAGAGTTGGGGGTCAAGTCCAACTTCCAAGGGTTAAGGATGTGGGTCAGACACTGCCTGGCCAGGAAGCAGGAGCCTCTGCCCTGACTCAGGACACCGAGGCCCCCTGGACAGAGCCAGGCCAAAAGCTCTTGAGCACAGAGGGCCTGTCCCCCTGCCCTGCTCACCAAGGATGCCAGCATCCAGCAGCTCAGAGCCCAGCACACATGGCCCCCCACCCAGGTTGGGGTGGGTGTGCTGGGTTTACACTCTCCATTCTCTCCAATGTATGTGCATCCCATTGAGCCAGGCTCACGCAGCTGGGGCAAGGGCCTGCCAGAGCCTGGGAGCTCCCTGACGCCTGGGGGTGATTACTTTGTCATTTCAGTGGCTTCAGCAAACCTGTCAGGTTACAGAGCCCTCACTGGTGACATCACAAGGTGTCCCCTAATGACTTCCAGTTCTTATAATGGCCTCCCTCCTTCATCACAGTAAATAAAGGAGCCATGTGGGTTGGGGATTTAACTCTCGCCCACACAGAGCCCTGGAAAGCTGGACAGAAAAACTCCCAGGCAAGGCAAGAGCCCCTCCCACCCCATGCCTGAGCTGGACGGGTCCCTGGCCCAACCCAAGGAGGTCCCTGGCACCCCCCTAGACTGAACAGGCCTGCTCTGGGGCTGAGAGACACAGACGGAAAACAGGAGTCCCCTGGAAGCTGCCTCCGCTCTGGCACCCTCCTCCAGCCCTACCCCGCACCCCGAGTCCCCATCTGTGGCTCACACCGGCCCCCACCCCCAACTCCGGGCCGGAAACAGTTTCTTCTTCAGCGGACAACCGGCTTGGCCTTTGTCCCCGGCACCCGGGACCCCCTGGCCTCCAGGCTCAGAGCGGGCGGGCCTGGTGAAGGCTGCCGCCTGCACGAAGGGCCGACTGCCAGCGCTCAGCCCCGGGTTCCGGGAGCTACTCTGAGCCGGGCGGGATCCGGCTGCGCCACCAGAGTGGCCCTCCCAGGCCCGGAGCCCGGCGGGCGAACAGGCGGTACTGGGCGCTTTCTGGGCCTCCGCGCGGGAGACACCGCGGTGCCGGGCCCCGGGAAGCCAAAGTCGGAGAGGGGATCGGTCAGGACGCCGCGCGGAGCTGCCACACCGGGACCCGGACCCGCACCCGCGCGGCCCACTCACCGAGACAGACGACGGCCAGCTGCGCCCGGGCGCCCGGCGCGCCCTCCAGCCCCGGGGCCGCGCGCTTATCCATGCCGGGCTCGGCGGCCCGCGGGCGCCGCCTCCTGTTGCCCGGCTCCGGCTGTGGCTCCGGCTGCAGCCGGGGTTCGGGCTCGGGCTCCGGCTGGCGCGGCGGCTGCGGCCCAGGCGCAGACGGCGGCTCCCAAGGCGTCTTTGTGCGGTGGCGGTGCAGGCCCGTAGCGCGCGCGGGGCCACATCGGCCGCGGCGTCACGGGCCCCGCGGGGGCTCAGCGGCGGCCGCCAGGGAGGACCCCCGCCCGCCGCTGCCCCCGCGCCCCAGGAGCCCCGCCGCGGCCGGCCTGGGCCCGGGGACCCCCGGCGCGCCCATGCCCCGCGACGCGCAGCCCGCCCGGCCCCGGCGCCCCCAGGCAGCCCCGCGCTGCCCCCAGCCTGCCCGGCCGGGTGCCGCCGGTGGAGCGTCTGCGGGTCTGTCGGCCGTCCCGCCCGGCCCCTCACCCGCGCCCGGAGCCCGGAGGCCTAGCTGCGCTAGCCACGTGACGCGCCCGCCGAGCCGCAGTGGCGCTGGCAGGGCGGGCGGAGGCGGCTGGGGCGGGCTGGGGGCTCACGCCCCGCCTTGGGGTGCTGGACAGCTCCGCGCACAGGCCCCGCCCCGTCCGCGCCCCCAGCCCTCCAGTGGAGCGCTCCAGGCTGGCAGTGCGCCCTGTGTCCCGGCCGCTGCTCGCCTGGCCTCCTCACGGGCCCATGAATTGGTCCCTCCTGGACTGGGAGAAGGTGGGAGAGAGAGGGCTGCTTAGGGGACCTCACAGGGCTGGCGCAAGGTTAAGGCCTGTCTTCCTCGCAAGGTGTCCCTGTTCCTGCCCCTCCAATTCTTTCACTTGCCACAGTCCAAGTGCCCTGTCACGCCTCTAAGAGAAACCTCCTGTGCCAAGCAAGACCTGTGAAGGGACATTGGTGAACACGCCAGAGGCCTCTGGACATCTCCCAGGGCCCCCTGAGCCTACCCTGTTACCCGTTATCCTCGCGAGGCTGGGGACTGGGGAGGAGGCCTGCTTCTTAGGTTGGGGCTGCCATCTGGAGAGCTATCCACCAAGAGGTTTAATCCAATGAGGCAAAACCAGGAGAGACAGGGGGAAAGTTTGGGATGGCCATTTAGGGTCAAGACGGATGAAATCAGAGGTTCCCAAAGGCTCCATGGCACAGAGGGCCCACCAACCTGAGCTGAGGCTCCCAACCCTTTTATAACACCCCCAGCACCTCATTTGATATTCTCTGTATATAGAGAGAAGGTTGAGAGAAACCGATGGTCCGTTAGTGAAAGCATACACAGTCACTCACTCAGACCGCACAGGTTGGATTTTAATAGAAATTGAGGAGAAGGTCGGCCGGGCGCGGTGGCTCACGCCTATGAACCCAGCACTTTGGGAGGCGGAGACGGGTGGATCACGAGGTCAAGAGATCGAGACCATCCTGGTCAACAAGGTGAAACCCCGTCTCTACTAAAAATACAAAAATTAGCTGGGCATAGTGGTGTGCGCCTGTATTCCCAGCTACTCAGGAGGCTGAGGCAGGAGAATTGCTTGAACCCAGAAGGCAGAGGTTGCGGTGAGTCAAGATTGTGCCATTGCACTCCAGCCTGGGTAACAACAGCAAAACTCTGTCTCGAAAAAAAAAATTGAGGGGAAGAAAAATCCTCTTAATTTTTCTGGGTTTTCTTGTTCTCTCTCTTCTAACTCCTTTGGTGATTTTTCCAAAGCAGATTTCTTTGGAAATGTATTCAAGAATGTAAAAATCAAATAGAAGGTACGTTACGGATTGACCGCATAGAGCACTAGCCTGTGTGTGATTTGGTTTCAGAATTTTCTCAGACTGCTGACTTCGGAAGAGTAGACATTTATTTATACATGGCAAAAGCGCTCCACAGAGGCAGGGGCAATGGTGGGGTGGATCTGCAGTTTGTTTGTTGTTCTTGTTGTTGTTGCTTCTGCTGCTTAGTTTTTTTTAGAGACAGAGTCTCGCTTTGTCACCCAGGCTAGAGTGCAGTGCTGCAACCAGCTCCCTGTACCCTCAAACTCCTGCACTCAAGCAATCCTCCCACCTCAGCCTCCCAAGTAACTGGGATGACGGGTGTGCATCACCATGCCAGGCTAATTTTCTAATTTTTTGTAGAGACAAGATCTTGCTCTGGTGCCCAGGCTGGAGTGCAGTGGTGCGATCATGGCTCACTGCAACCTCAAACTCCTGGACTCAAGGGATCCTCTTGCCTCAGCCTCCCAAAGTGCTGGGATGACAGACATGAGCCACCACACCTGGCCAAAATACGCAGCTTTGTTGCCACTTGAAGATTCTGCCTGCTTCAATGCATGTTTTGCAAGTTATGTAAGGAATCTAGTGTCCAGACTAATGACCAATATGGGAGTCATATTGGAACCTGAAGCAAAAGAAAAGTAAGCTCCTAGATGCATTTATCAAAATATTCTCCTATATTTTGGACCAAGTGGAAAGGCCAATAAAAGCTCTATAATCACAAAACATGACTATATCTAAATCTCCATGCTCCCAAATCAATCTGTGCACATCCCATTGTGAACCCTCCTAAACCCACACGGCAAGAAATGGCCACGATATCCAGGAACCTTGGGCTGACCGGAAATAGCTGTCCCCATTGTACACACAAAAAAATTTGCATTAAAGCTGATTTATCTTGATTATTGAGGTTTTTGCCAATTCCTTCAATTCTGTGTCCAAGGTGAGTGCCCCACTCCCCTATCCTTCTCTCTGCCAATATTGAGACCTTGGCTCTCTGACACCCCATCTTGTTTGTCTCATGATGGTCTAGTGCCCCCTAGAGGCTGTTGTTCCAGACAGGACCCTTGCTGGGGGTCCCCAATGCAGCTCTGGCCCAATCCTTTCCCCCCGCCGCCCTCCCACCACTTCTGAGACGGTTCCTGGTATTCCTGTCTCCCCTGCAACACTCTTCCACTCTAGCTGCAGTTGCCTGGGTCCCTCCACCTCTGACACCTTTTCATAAACATCCCCCATTGACTCAAGCTATATCCAGAATGTGTCTATTCATCACACTCTGAAAGCTTCCAACTAGTGGAGAATTTGGTACTGGGAAGGAGATGATGGGTGTGGACCTAGAACATGGGAACTGGCTGGGGCAGGCTAGGGAGCAGTGGGGGGGCAGAGGGCCTCAGACATGAGAGCAGGGGCTTCCTGGCAAGAAGCTTCCCAGTTAGAAGGAAGCAAAGCTGCTGTCACGCTCACTGTGGGCCAGTGATGCCTTCAGGAATCTGCTCTAGGAGTGAGGAGTCAGAGGACAGGCAGAGAGGAGACGGAAGGGGCACAGAGGCATCCCACGTAAGTCCCCACCCCATCCCAAACAAGAGGGCCACCACCATTGCCCACTGATCAGTCACACAGCCCAAGCCCACATGTGACACAGAAGAAAACAATGACACAGGAGAGTCCCACATGGTCCCCCATCATTCACGCACAGGCAGATGTTCAAACTCAAGTCCTCTCTTATTCAACTGATTACCAGACACCAAGGGAAGAGAATACTGCATTGAATGGTAAGTGTCTTTCCTGATTTCAAATAACAAGAATCAGCCAGGGGCGGTGGCTCACACTTGTAATCCCAGCACTTTGGGAAGCCAAGGTGGGAAGATCACTTGAGGCCAGGAATTCGAGACCAGCCTGGGCAACATAGCAAGACCCTGGATCTACAAAAAAAATTTTAAATGTGTTGGGCCCGGTGGTATGCATCTGTAGTCTCAGATACTCAGGAAGCTGAGGTGAGAGCATTGCTTGGACCCAGGAGTCCGAGGCTTCAGTGAGCCATGATCACACATTGTACTCCAGCCTGGACAACAGAGTGAGACCCTGTCTCAAAAAAACACAAAACAAACAACAACAACAAAATCCTAGAGTTTATTCAAAGGTCAAAGGCCAAAAGTGGCTCTGGCAAATCAAACTGAAAAAACAGTTTTCTGATCACCTGTCCAGGTTTATCACAGGTGACTTCCAGGAGGGCGAACCCCCATTATCCTGACTGAGACATAGACCAGACGTCCCTCACCCCCACATCTGCCCCTTCTCTCCTGTGCCCTACTCAGTTCATTGCCATGTTCATTACTGAGTCAATAATTTTTACTCCAATCTCCCTACATCCAAAGCATCACTAGAACCTGCTAGCCCGCCAATGTATCTCAAATCTACCCACCTGTCTCCATCACCATGACCACCTCCCTGGCCCCAGCCACCATCTCCTCTCTCCTGGACCTCCACAGAAGCCCCCCACATGGTCCCTTGCCTCTCAATTCATCACGCACGTTCTTAACATGCAAATTGGTTCATCCCCACTGCTGAAAATGCCGGATCACTTTAGACCAGGAGTTTGAGACCAGCCCGGCCATCATGGCAAAACCCCATCTCTACTAAAAATACAAAAATTAGCCAGGCCCCAAGGTGAGCACCTGTAATCCCAGCTACTCGGGGGGCTGAGGCAGGAGAATCTCTTGAATCTGAGAGACAGAGTTTGCAGTGAGCCCAGATCTCACCACTGCATTCCAGCCTGGGTGACAGAGCGAGACTCGCCCTCAAAACTAAATAAATAAAAATAAATTTAAAATACTACAAATAAACTGGCAACATATATGGTTGCAATAGCAGCATTTCGTCCTGAGCTCTATGGGATGGGGCAGCTGGCCCGGGGTTGGTGCTTTGACTTCAGTGCAGCTTCCTAGCATTTCTGCAATCCTGGTGCGCGGGCGGAGGGGGCGATTTTGGTCAGTCCAGGTGGGAACAGCAAAGCTCAGAGCTGAGTGCCTGCTCGCCTGTGGAAATGCTTGGGGAGCACCCAGCCACAGTGCACCCTTGCACCCTACTGCGTCTGCAGGAACGTCTGTCCATCCAGGGCAGTGGGCGTGGTTTACCCAAGTGCATCTAGCCATAGATGCTCTCCAGGCTGCAGCCAGTTCCTAGAACCTTAATAGACCAGCGGCAGTAAAATCATTTCACCTTCAATATTGAGCAGTAATTTTAAAATTACAGGCCTGGAACAGTAAGTATGTCATAAAAGCACCATTCCAAAAAAAAAAAAAGGCTTTTATTGCAATGAAAATGTTAGCAGCAGGTTGCCCCTTGGTTTACATAACCCTCTCTGCGGGAACTTCCAGTACTGAGTGCAGTTCCCATTTTCAACGAAAAAGCTCCCTCGGCCTTGCCGAAGCACTCGGAAGTGCCCTGAAGCAATAATCATTTGTGTATTGATTTGGGGGAGAATCAATCCAATCCCGTCCACCTCACTAAATTATGAATGGGGCTGAGCTCATCAGAAATCCCACGGTGGTTAACAGGTGAGATTTGTTCTTTAACCCTGCTGGCTCCTGATATGGTTTGGATATTTGTCCCTTCCAAACCTCATGTTGAAATGTGACTCCTCCCCCCAGTGTTGAAGGTGGGGCCTGGTGGGAGGTATTTGGATCTTGGGAGTGCATTCCTCACCAATGCTTTGGTGCCCTCCACACCCTAATGAATGAGTGAGAGCTGACTGCTTAAAAGATCCTGGTGGCTGGGCACAGTGGCTCATGCCTGTAATCCCAGCACTTTGGGAGGCTGAGATGGGTGGATCACGATGTCAGGAGTTTGAGAACAGCCTGGCCAACATGGTGAAACCCCATCTCTACTACAAATACAAAAATTAGCTGGGTTTGGTGGCGCGTGCCTGTAATCCCAGCTACTCGGGAGGCCGAGACAGGAGAATCACTTGAACCTGGGAGACATAGGTTGCAGTGAGCTGAGATCGCGCCACTGCACTTCCGCCTGGCGACAGAGCAAGACTCCGTCTCAAAAAAAAAAAAAAAAAAAAGAGAGCCTGGTGCCTCCCCCTACTTCCTTCCTCTGTTGCCAGGTGACACTGGCTCCCGCTTTGCCTTCAGCCTTGATTGGAATTTTTTTTTTTTTTTTTTAGACCTAGTCTCACTCTGAAGTCCAGGCTGGAAGCCCAGGCTGATTGAGCAATCTCAGCTCACTGCAACTTCCACCTCCCAGGTTCAAGTGATTCTCCCACCTTAGCCTCCGGAGTAGCTGGGATTACAGGCACCTACCACCATGCCCAGCGTTTTTTTTTTTTTAAGACAGAGTTTCACTCTTGTTGCCCAGGCTGGAGTGCAATGGCACAATCTTGGCTCACTGCAACCTCCGCCTCCCAGGTTCAAGCGATTCTCCTGCCTCAGCCTCCCGAGTAGCTGGGACTACAGGCATGTGCCACCATGCCCGGCTAATTTTGTATTTTTAGTAGAGACAGGGTTTCTCCATGTTGGTCAGGCTGGTCTGGAACTCCTGACCTCAAGTAATCCGCCCTCCTCTGCCTCCCAAAATGCTGGGATTATAGGCGTGAGCCAGCGCACCCAGCCAATTTTTGTATTTTTTAGTAAAGATGAAGTTTCGCTTTGTTGGCCAGGCTGATCTGGAACTCCTGGCCTCAAGTGATGTGCTCTCCTTGGCCTCCCAAAGTACTAGGATTACAGACGTGAGCCACCGCATCCGGCCATTCCGCCTTGATTGGAAGCCTCCTGAGGCCCTTGCCAGAAACAGATGCTAGTGCCAAGCTTCTCGTACAGTCTGCAGAACTGTGAGCCAAATGAATCTCTTTTCTTTACAAATTACTCAGCCTTAGGTGTTCCTTTATAGCAACACAAAACAGATTACTACAGAGCCACAGGAGTAAAAGTGACACCGTGAGACAGCCTGAGTCTCAAGGCCTAAATACAGATTGCGGGAACACAAGGCTGGAGGGGTGGATGAGGAAAGTCATGGGACAACCCTTACGTCCCAAAAAGTGGCTCCTCCTTATTCACAGCAGGTGAGAGGAGCAGGCCCAAGCTCACTTTCAGCCCAAGTGAAAGCTCAAAGCAGCTGGCGGAAGGGCTCCAGGTGTCTGGTAGCAAGACCATCAGCCCTCGGAGAGACCCTGGGATTCCCCGTGGGGAGCAATAGGGAGAGGGCAGTGCTACCCTCAGTGGGCCCCTCCACCACACAGACAGCCCATCTTTATTATGAACTTAATCGTTGCATTTAAATCAACTTATTTTTATTTTATTTAAGAACAGTATTATGTTGGCTCAAATCAAATGAAACATCATTGCACGGGGAAAGAGCTGGGCGCGGTGGCTCACGCCTGTAATCCCAACACTTTGGAGGGCCAAGGCAGAAGGATCACCAGCTCGGAGTTTGAGACCAGCCTGGGCAACTTAGTGAGACCTCCATCTCTATAAAAATAAACAAAATTAAAAAAAAAAAAATAGCCAGGCACAGTGGTGGCTGTAGTGCCAGCAACTCAGGAGGATAGCTTGAGCTCAGGGGTTCGAGGCCTGAGTGACAGAGTAAGACTCTGTCTCTAAAAGCCAGGAGGGAGAGGATTATTATGACATGTGAATTAAATATTTGAAAAAGAAAATAAAGTAGGTGGGGCATGGTGGCTCACGCTGTAATCCCAGCACTTTGGGAGATTGAGGTGGGTGGATCACTCAAGATCAGGAGTTCCAGACCAGCCTGGCCAACATGGTAAAACCCCGTCTCTACTAAAAACATAAAAGTTAGCCTGGCATGGTGGCACTCGCCTGTTGTCCCAGCTACTCAGGAGGCTGATGCAGGAGAATCTCCTGAACCTGGGAGGCAGAGGTTGCAGTGAGCTGAGATCTCACCACTGCGCTCCAGCCTGGGCTATGGAATGAGACTTCATCACCAAAAAAAAAAAAAAAAAAAAGGAATTCAGTTTCCCACAAATGAAGTACGGCAATGCTTATGGAAATTACTGGTGTTGTCACGTTCCCCACCAATCTGAAACAGCTGGCTTGATACAACAGTGGAATGGCTTTTTTTTTGAGATGAGTCTCACTCTGTCACCCAGGCTAGAGTGCAATGGCACAATCTCAGCTCACTGCAACCTCTGCCTCCCCGGTCCAATCAATTCTCTTGCCTCAGTCAGGCTCCTAAATAGCTGGGATTACAGGTGCGCCTGGCTAAGTTTTGTATTTTTAGTAGAGACAGGGTTTCACCATGTTGGTCAGGCTGGTCTCAAACTCCTGAACTCGTGGTTTTGCCCACGTTGGCCTCCCAAAGTGCTGGGATTACAGGTGTGAGCCACCTCACCTGGCCCTATGGTTTACTTTCTCTCTCTCTCTCTCTTTTTTTTTTTTAAAGATGGGATTTCACCATGATGGCCAGGCTGGTCTTGAACTCCTGACCTCAGGTGATCCACCCACCTCAGCCTCCCAAAGTGCTAGGATTATAGGCATGAGCCACCGCACCCGGCCTTACTTTCTCTTTTTTTAAAAAAATAGGCTGGGTGTGGTGGCTCACACCTGTAATCCCTGCACTTTAGTCAGTCAGGCAGATCACTTGAGCTCAGGAGTTCAAGACCAGCCCGGCCAACATGGTGAAACCTCGTCTCTACTAAAAATACAAAAATTGGCACGGTGGCACGCGCCTGTAATCTCAGTTACTTGGGAGGCTGAGGCAAAAGAATCGCTTGAACCCGGGAGGCTGAGGTTGCAGAGAGCCAAGATCATGCCATTGCCCTCCAGCCTGGGGGGACAGAGTGAGATTCCGATAGCAAAGAGAAAAAGAAAGGGAGAAAAGATTTCAAATCCTGTATCCAATAAGGGACTTTTTTTTTTTTTTTTTTTTTTTTGAGATGGAGTCTCGCTCTGTTGTCCAGGCTGGATTGCAGTGGCTAAGCATGAACCAGAAATAAACCAGTCCCACAATGACGCAATCCCAGTTTCCAATGAATTCATCCCTGATTGGTTCCAGGTGAATGCTCCTATCAGCACTGCAAAGCCTCACAGTCTCCTTACAAGTTTTCCCAGGCAACGACAATCAAAAGCAACGAAATTGCAAAGGCGCAATAATTGACTGGAAAACGAGAGAAACAAACAAACAAAAACAATAAACCCAGACTCATAGGAGAGGCAGAAAGAAGAACTGCTTCTGGGGCAGGTGAATTTTACTATTTGGAACACAGCCTCATCCCATGACTGCAATTTCTGCACTGGGAGTATCCTATCGGGTTTGACAGGTGAATCCCTGGAGAATTTTTGTAAAAACTCCAATGCCTCACCCCACCCTACCCCACCACCTCCGAAGCCTCAGATGCACTTGCTTTCGAATAGGTCTCCACATGCAAATATGGGTACAACCCCAGCCCGGGCGGCAGGCTTCAGCCCACACCCAGCCGTCTGAAATGGACGCAGAGTCCCCTGCGATCTTTCCCTGGCTTGCAGTTTCCACGCAGTTATCAGACTGACTGTCACGCTGACCGGACTGAGTCCCATACCCCTCCTCTTGGGGCCGCCTTGGCCACGCCGGCCTGGGTACTGCATTTGTGAAATAGCTTCGCGGCTGCAGAAAGACTGGCAATCTGCAGTACTTTGAGACTCAGCTAAGCCCGGTGACCCTCGAGGATGGGCACCCGCATGGGCTCCCCAGAGCGGCCGCTTGGAGCCAGGATGATTAGCTGGAGAAACCCAAGCCACAGAAACCGGCCGGGGAGAGCACATCCACTGCCCGCCCTGCGGAAGCAGCCTGGGGGCGAACACTGGCTCCGCGCTGGACTTCCAAGGTGCTTCCCCGCCCGCGCGCTTCCCACCGCCAGCCAGCACCAAGGCAACCGCTGTCTCCTGGGTCCCCGCGCCGCCCACGCCCCTCAGCTGCTGAGACCAGAGGAGGAGTCGTTTGAGGCCCGTCTGCCCCCGCCCCCTTGACTGAAGCCACGCCTAGCTGCGGGCCCGGATTCGTCGGCCACTCAGACTTCCCCTCACACCCACATGGTGCCGGGCAGCCAGGCTAGGCCTCGGAGCACAAAAGGGCAAGAGCAAAAGTAGAGAGAGCTTGGACGCTCGGTTGAGGCACCGCTGGGATTCGAACCCAGGATCTCCTGTTTACTAGACAGGCGCTTTAACCAACTAAGCCACGGCGCCACCCGTGTGAACGTCTTGACGAATGACTCCTTATTACCATTAGTCTCTTGGGTCGCGCGCATGCGCACAGACTTGACCTGCTGCAGCGTACTCGAAATGTAGCTTCCGCGGCGACCGAGACCGGAAGCTCGGGCTACACTGAGCAAGCGAGTCTGAGAAGGAGAGGCTTCCCGGCCACAATGATGTCTCCTCCAACGTGGAGCCAGGACGCTCTGCCTTGGGGAACACTGGCGCGAGGACTGGACCTCAGGGTAGTGTGGCCAAACCCCTACCCGCTCCGGAGAACCTCCGGCCCCGCCAGCGCGGCCGGCACACCCGCCTCTGTCCGACGGTGACCCGGGTAAGCTTCGGACCGTTCCGCCCAGCGACCTCAGCCTGGGAAGACCGGGGGCCCTGTCAGCTCCCGGGGCCATAACTTCAGTTGAGTCACTTCTCCCGCGGATCCTGAGCTGGGGAAAAGTCGAGGGGTCAGGAAGGCTCCGAGGAGGGATCATGGGCTTCGGGGTTCCCAGGCTGCTGGCGTGGGGCACCGACACCTTATATGAAGGGGTTTCTGCTGCCAGAGCAGGCAAGGCCCTCTCCGCCTTGGTTTCTCACTTGCCCCTTCTGGGTGTCCTTACGCAATTACACCAGCCACTGGTCCCCGCACTTTGCAGAGGACCTGTGGGCAACGACGCAGCCGAACACTGCCAACCCATCCACCCACCATCTCTCCGGCATGCACAGAAAGGTTCACCCAGTATGGTGTGCACTAGGAACCTAAGCTTCTCTCTCAGCCTCTTTCTGGCTTGATGCACACTGTGTACTATGCCGTGGCAGCCGGAAGAGGGCTGCGCATAACCATGGGCGTTCTGGACATTGAGAAGTCTAGAGGAGACAGCATGAGACACCCCGTGATGGAAATGCCACCGCCACCCACGTGGCGCCTAACCAAACTGTCCTCTGCTCTGGGCAGGTGGCCATCTGGGAGCATTAGCTAGGGAGGCACCCAGTGTCTTGCCCACACCTCGTCATATTCATATTGACGGTTCACTGATGGGTGAACCCATCCGTGGGGGCCGTGTTGACACCTGCCGTCTAGCCGCCCTCCACAGCCATGGGGGTGCATCATCTATGCCTGTTCATGTGTGCTAAGGCCTCAAATTCAACTGGGAGGAGGGAGGCCACTAGCGATGGGACCTCTCTGCAAGGAGGTTCCAGTGGCTGGGAGGGCATAAGTGGAGGTTTGCCACGTTCATACATCATTCATGTAAATGAATGGATAAGCAGTGAACAGACAACTTGACGGTGACCAGTCACCCCATTGTGACTGACAAGGATGGCATCGGACATGGGACCCACCCACATGACAACTTCCAGGCCATGGTGCTTATGCACAGAATTATTGGATGCCAGACAATTGACACTAGACATTATGTAATAATATATAAATCAGTCTTGCTGGGTTTTTTTGCTCTGCTACCCATGTTGGAGTGCAGTGGCACAATCATATAGCTCACTGGCTGCCTCGAACTCCTGGGGCTCAAGCGATCCTCCTGCCTTGGCCTCCCAAACAGCTGGGACTACGGGTGCACCACACACCTGGTTAGTGTTTTCGTTTTTTGTGGAGAGGTCTTGCTGTGTTTCCCAAGCTAGTCTCAAACTTCTGGCCTCAAGCTATTCACTTGCCTCAGTCTTCCAAAGTGCTGGAATTACAGGCAGGAGCCTCTGCGCCCAGGCTCAGTTAAGCTTTTTAAATGGACTAAGGGGCCTATTAATGATATTTGATGAGAATCATGTGAACCATACCAAATGGAAAAGGGTTCTTATTAACAGAAAACTTGACTCTTTCTGGACTGATGCATGTTGTACAATATGCGGCGGCAGCAGGAAGAGGGCTGTGCATAGACCTGGGAGTTCTGGAAATTGAGAAGTCTAGAAGACACACCTGCCTGTGATGCAGTGCCACTGCCACTCCCTTGGCTAACCAAATCATCCTCTGCCCTGGGCAGGTGGCCCTCTGGGAGCATTAGCCAGGGAGGCACCCACAGTATCTTGCCATCACATCCACAGAGGGTGCCCCATGCCTTGTCATATTTATTGAACAAACCCTTTCTCCAGAACTACTGGCGCCAGCCCCCACAGGTCACTTTACAGGACAACTCCAGACTCCATAAAGTGAGTCTAATATATGTTCCAAAAATCAAACAGGATGAGCACCAAGACATAAAGCTTAGAAACAGCAAGACTGCTTTTCAAATGCACATGCACACTTGTTTTCCAAAGGAATTAGATTTATTTTGCGTGAAAACAGAAAATAAAGTGTTCACTCCCTAAGCTGAGAGCTGAGGAGGTGGCACTGTGCTTAGAGCCCAGCCAACGCTTGCATCCTGCCCCAGTATGACAGGACCACTGAGTCTGGGAGGGGCACAAGAGAAAGTCCCTGCAGAGCCCCGAAACCTACATGCTAGGTAGCCTGTGCTCAAGTCACTCAAAGGGTCCCGTGGCTGTCAGTCATCCTTGCTTCCCCTTGGCAATGGTGAGTTCTCCCTTTCCAATGATGATAATGATGAAGTCTCCGCTGGCAAGCCCCTTGTATCTATCCGGCAGAACACGCATTGGGTGAATATTTCAGAAGAGGTGTCACTCTCAAAGATGGAGAAAGGCCTGTCACATCTTTCGCACTGACATGGGATATTTTAAAAGAGCAGAAAGGAGGTGCTCGTCAGAGGGGTTCATTAGAATTCTCATCAGGCACATCATTAGAATTCTCCCACCTGATCCAGCTATGTTGAGCAAGGCAAGGCAAAGGCTCCCTTCTCTGGAATCTCTTTTTTTTTTTTTTCTTTTGAGACTTAGTTTTGCTCTTGTTGCCCAGGCTAGAGTGCAATGGCTCAATCTTGGCTCACCGCAACCTCCACCTCCCGGGTTCAAGTGACTCTCCTACCTCAGCCTCTGAAGTAGCTAGGATTACAGGCATGCGCCACCATGCCTGGCTAATTTTGTATCTTTAGTAAAGATGAGGTTTCTCTATGTTGGCCAGGCTCATCTCGAACTCCCTCCTCAGGTGATCTGCCCGCCTCGGCCTCCCAAACTGCTGGGATTACAGGCGAGAGCCACTGTGCCCAGCTGGAAGTTCTCTCCTCTACATGGCTCACCCCCTCACCACCTTCAAATTGAAATAGCGGCCACCTCAGTGAGACCTATCCTGACTACCTTTTAAAATCTTGCAACCAGGGCTGGGCGCGGTGGCTCACACCTGTAATCCCAGCACTTTGGAAGGCCGAGGCGGGTGGATCACGAGGTCAAGAGATTGAGACCATCCTGGTCAACAAGGTGAAACCCCGTCTCTACTAAAAAAAAAAAAAATTAGCTGGTCATGGTGGCGCATGCCTGTAGTCCCAGCTACTCAGGAGGCTGAGGCAGGAAAATTGCCTGAACCCAGGAGGCGGAGGTTGCGGTGAGCTGAGATCGCGCCATTGCACTCCAGCCTGGGTAACAAGAGCGACACTCCGTCTCAAAAAAAAAAAAAAAAAAAAAATCTTGCAACCTCCAGCACTCCTATTCCCTTTTGCTGTGTATTTTCTGTCAATTACTTAACACCATGCAACTTACTACACATTTTTCTTGTGTGTTTCCTCTTTTAGAATTTAAGCTCTGCTGGGGCAAAAATGTTGGTCTCTTTGTTCACACTTGCATCTCTAGGTGCCCAAAGTTTGTTCAAATGACAAATTATAGAGGAAACTAATGAAGCTTTCACTGGCTTCATTTTACCCAATACCAACCTGTTTCAACTTTAAGCCCATGGCCTTTTTGTACTTGATTACCAAAGGAATTTGGTCAACTTCTTCAATATTCCACAGTCTCATGGTCCTATCCTAAAACAAATAGGAAACCAGCAGTCATAAAACAAGCTGTGGTACATCCATACAAAGGAATATCATTCAGCAGTCAAAAGGCACAGAAAGAGGAATCTTCAATGCACATTGTTACGCCAAAGAAGCCAGCCTGAAGAGGCCACAGAGTGTAATTCCAACCTTGACGTTCTGGAAAAGGCAAAAGTAAAGAAAGCAAATAGATCAGTGGTTGCCCAGGATGATGAGGAAGAGGAGGAGGGATGAACAGTAAAACTATTCTGTATGGCTGGGCACGGTGGCTCATGCCTATAATCCCAGCACTTTGAGAAGCAGAAGAAGGTGAGGTCAGGAATTTGAGACCAGCCTCACCAATATGGTGAAACCCCATCTCTGCTAAAAATACAAAAATTAGCCAGGTATGGTAGCATGCGCCTGTAGTCCCAACTACTTGGGAGGCTGAGGCAGGAGAATGGCTTGAACCCAGGAGGTGAAGGTTGCAGTGAGCTAAGATCGTGCCATTGCACTCCAGCCTGGGCAACAGAGCAAGACACTATCTAAAAAAAAAGAAAAAAAAAACTATTCTGCATGACACTGTATTGGTGGATATATGATACGCATTTGGCAAAATCCATAGACCTATACAACACAAAGTGTGAAACGATGTAAACCACGGACTTTAGTTAACTTTAGTTAATAATAGTTCCTGAAGAAGCAGCTTCTCCACTCCTTCTGGAATCTCTCCCTGGTTCAGCCCACCTGCCTCCACTCCTGCCTCCACCATGTCCATCAGGTGTTCAAATGACAAATTATAGAGGAAACTAATGAAAGCTTTCACTGGCTTCATTTTACCCAATACCAACCTGTTTCAACTTTAAGCCCATGGCCTTTTTGTACTTGATTACCAAAGGAATTTGGAATTACCCAGAAGTCCTACAAGGTGTCCACCTCTGGCCCCGGGGCCTTCAGCAGCCGCTCCTTCACGAGTGGGCCCAGTGCCCGCTTGAGCTTCTCCCGAGTGAGCTGTAGTGGCTTCTGGGGTGGCCTGGGTGCAGGCTATTCTGGGGCCAGCGGCATAGGCATGGGAGGCATCACCGCTGTCACCATCAACCAGAGCCTGCTGAACCCCATTAAGGTGGATGTGGACCCCAACATCCAGGCCGTGCGTACCCAGGACAAGGAGCAGATCAAGACCCTCAACAAGTTTGCTTCCTTCATCGACAAGGTGCGGTTCCTGGAGCAGCAGAACAAGATGCTGGAGACCAAGTGGAGCCTCCTGCAGCAGCAGAAAACGGCTCGGAGCAACATGGACAACATGTTTGAGAACTACATCAACAACCTGAGGGGCAGCTGGAGACTCTGGGCCAGGAGAAGCTGAAGCTGGAGGCGGAGCTTGGCAACATGCAGGGGCTGGTGGAGGACTTCACGAACAAGTATGAGGAAGAGATCAATAAGTGTACAGAGATGGAGAATGAATTTGTCCTCATCAAGAAGGATGTGGATGAAGCTTACATGAACAAGGTAGAGCTGGAGTCTCGCCTGGAAGGACTGACTGACGAGGTCAACTTCCTCAGGCAGCTGTATGAAGAGGAGATCCGGGAGCTGCAGTCCCAGATCTCCGACACGTCTGTGGTGCTGTCCATGGACAACAGCCGCTCTCTGGACATGGACAGTATCATCGCCGAGGTCAAGGCACAATACGAGGAAATTGCCATCCGCAGCCGGGCTGAGGCGGAGAGTGTATACCAGATCAAGTATGAGGAGCTGCAGAGGCTGGCTGGGAAGCACAGAGATGACCTGCAGCGTACGAAGACTGAGATCTCCGAGATGAACCGGAACATCAGCTGACTCCAGGCTGAGATCGAGGGCCTCAAAGGCCAGAGGGCTTCCCCGGAGGCCGCCATTAGAGATGCTGAGCATCGCAGGGAGCAGGCACTCAAGGATGCTCATACCAAGCAGCAGGCAGGAGCTGGAGGCCGCCCTGCAGCAGGCCAAGCAGGACATGGCAAAGCAGCTGCGTGAGTACCAGGAGCTGATGGATGTCAAACTGGCCCTGGACATCAAGATCGCCACCTACCGCAAGCTACTGGAGGGCGAGGAGAGCCGGCTGGAGTCCGGGATGCAGAACATGAGTATCCACACGAAGACCACCAGCAGCTATGCAGGTGGTCTGAGCTCTGCCTATGGGGGCCTCACAAGCCCCGGCCTCAGCTACGGCCTGGGCTCCAGCTTTGCTCTGTCATGGGCTCCAGCTCCATCAGCCGCACCAGCTCCACCAAGGCTGTGGTTGTGAAGAAGATTAAGACCCGCGATGGGAGGCTGGTGTCCGAGTCCTCTGACGTCCTGCCCAAGTGAACAGCTGCAACAGCCCCTCCCAGCCTGCCCCTCCTGAGGCTGCCCCAGAGCCCAGGAGGGAGGTTGCTGTGCAGGGGAGTGAAGGGAACAGGAGACCCACCTGATGCTCAGCCCTAGCCCTCAGCCCACCAGCGGGGAGTTTACTGCCTGGGGACCCCCCTTGCCCATGCCTCCAGCTGCAAAACAATTCAATTGCTTTTTTTTTTTTTTTTGGTCCAAAATAAAATCTCAGCTAGCTCGGAAAAAAAAATAAAATAATAGTTCCCGAGGCCGGGCGCGGTGGCTCACGCCTATAATCCCAGCACTTTGGGAGGCTGAGGTGGGTGGATCACGAGGTCAACAGATCGAGACCATCCTGGTCAACAAGGTGAAACCTCATCTCTACTAAAAATAAAAAATTAGCTGGGCATGGTGGCACGTGCCTGTAATCCCAGCTACTCGGGAGGTTGAGGCAGGAGAACTGCTTGAACCCAGAAGGCGGAGGTTGCGGCAAGCCGAGATCACGCCATTACACTCCAGTCTGGGTAACAAGAGCGAAACTCGGTCTCAAAAATAAATAAATAAATAAAATAAAATAAATAATAGTTCCCGAAAGGAATGCATTCTTGTTGACACCTAGATTTTAACCCAATGAGAACTTGTCAGACTTCTATCTTACAGAACTGTAAGATAGTAAATTTGTGTTACTTAATGTTTAAACAGTACAGTCCTGTAACTTAATATAGCAGCAATAAAAAAATGGATACACTGGTCCAGTGCAGTGGTGTTTACAACTAATTGATCACAACCAGTTAGATTTCTTTGTTCCTTCTCCACTCCCACTGCTTCACTTGACTAGCCTTTAAAAAATAAAAAAATAAATGGATACACTTAGTATGTTACATTTCTTGATTCAGCAGTTGAAATTAAATATCCTGTGGGAGAACAAAGGGCACATGTTGGTAACAGATGTGTTGGCTTCACTGTGTAGAGCTGTCAGATCTTACCAATAAGCATACTTCCTACAGTATAGCAAGTGGCTTGCCAAATTGTGGTAACAAAAAATGTCTTCCCAGCTCTTAGATATTGTCATTCAAAAGTTAGTTGCAAGCTGGGCATGGTGGCTCACACTTGTAATCCAGCATTTTGAGAGGCATATGCAGGAGGATGACTTGAGCCCAGGAATTCAAGACCAGCCTGGGCAATATAGTGAGACCTCGTACCTACAGAATAAAAAAAAATTTTAGGCTAGGCATGGTGGCTCATACCTGTAATCCCATCACTTTGAGAGGTCAAAGCAGGCAGATCACCTGAGGTCAGGAGTTTGAGACCAGCCTGGCCATCATGGCAAAACCCTGTCTCTACTAAAAATACAAAAATTAGCCAGATGTGGTGGCGAGGGGCTGTAATCCCAGCTACTCAGGAGGCTGAGGCAGGAGAATCATTTGAACCTGGAGGGTAGAGGTTGCAGTGAGCCGAGGTTGTGACTTCATTGAGAAATACCTATTCTTTTAATTTTTTTTTTTTTTTTTTGAGATGGAGTTTTGTTCTTGTTGCCCAGGCTAGAGTGCAATGGCATGATCTTGGCTCACTGCAGTCTTACAACCTCTGCCTCCTGGGTTCAAGCAATTCTCCTGTCTCAACCTCCCAAGTAGCTGGAATTACAGGCATGTGCCACCACGCCCGGATAATTTTGTATTTTTAGTAGAGATGGGGTTTCTCCACGTTGGTCAGGCCGGTCTTGAACTCCTGAGCTCAGGTGATCCACCTGCCTCAGCCTCCCAAAGTGCTAGGATTACAGGCGTGAGCCACCATGCGCAGCCTGACAAATACTTAAGTCTTTTAAAATAAGCTTGAAGATTTAGTACATTTGGACATTTTTGGAGTACTGGGAAATAAAACCTGTTTTTGCCAGTAAGTAAAATCTTTTTTTTTTTTTTTTTTTTTTTTTTTTAAGATGGAGTCTCACTCTGTTGCCCAGGCCGGAATGCCATGGCTTGATCTCAGCTCACTGCAGCTTCCACCTCCCAAGTCTAGCGATTCCCCTGCCTCATCCTCCTGAGTATCTGGGACTACAGGCACACCACCACACCCAGCTAATTTTTGTATTTTTAATAGAGGTGGGGTTTCACTATCTTGTCCAGGCTAGTCTGAAACTCCTAACCTTGTGATCCACCCACCTCAACCTCCCAAAGTGCTGGGATTACAGGCGTGAGCCACCATGCCCTGCCCATTTTAACTATTTGTAAGTGTACAAGTAAGTCACATTAAATACCTTCACAGTCTTCTATCAGCATAACCACTCTCTAGACCCAAAACTTATTCACCATCCCCAACAAAACGTCTATTACCAATTAATAACTTTCACCCCACCCACCAACCTCTGGCAAGCACCATTCTACATTCTCTTAATTTGGCTCTGCTGGATACTTCATCTAAGTGGAATTACGATGGGATTTATCCTTTTGTGACCGGCTTATTTCACTTAGCATGTCATCAAGATTCGTCCATGATGTAGCATGTCAGAATTTCCCTGTTTTTATGGCTGAATTTCCTTGTATGGATAGACCACACTTTATGTATCCATTCATCCAACACGTGGGTCGCTTCCACCTTTTAGCTGTAGTAAATAATGCTACTATGAACACTGGCATATAAGTATCAGAAATCCCCTGCCTTCAATTCTTTTGAATATAAACCCAAAAGTGGAGTTGCTGGATCATATGGTAGCTCTGTTTAAGCTTTTGAGAAACTGCCAAACCCGCAGCTGCACTGTTTTACATTCTCATCAGTCACGCACAAGGGATCCAGTTCTCCAAGTCCCTTGCCAACATTCATTATCTTCTGAGTTTTTTTATGATAGCCCTCCTAGTAGATGCGAAGTGGTATCTCACTGTGCTTTTTGTTTGCATTTCCCTAATGACAGTGATGTTGAGCATCTTGTCATATGCTTCTTGGACATTGGTATATCTTCTTCAGAGAAATGTCTGAGTCTTTTGCCCATTCTTGAATTGGGTTGCTTGTTTTTTGTTGTGAAGTTTTCGAAGTTCTTTATGTATTCTACATATTAACTTCTTACCAGATACATGCTGTACAACTATTTTCTCCCATTCTCGAAGTTGTCTTTTTGCTTTCTCTTTTATTTTTTTTTGAGACGGAGTTTCACTATTGTTGCCCAGGCTGGAGTGCAATGGCACGATCTCGGCTCACCGCAACCTCTGCCTCCTGGGTTCAAGCAACTCTCCTGCCTCAGCCTCCCGAGTAGCTGAAATTACAGGTGCGCACCACCATGCCCAGCTAATTTTTTGTATTTTTAGTAGAGACAGGGTTTCACCTTGTTGACCAGGATGGTCTCGATCTCTTGACCTCATGATCCACCCGCCTCGGCCTCCCCTTTTTGCTTTCTTGATGGCATCCTTTGATGTACATTCCCAGGCAGCTCCGTGAACGCGATGGACCAGCTAGGTACAGACGCCTCACCAAACCCACCCAGGACGTTTACACTTGCCAGTAACTCTCCTGCTATCACCAATTCTGATGAATATGATGGATATGGTAAGTCACTCAGAGCTCGGCCACTTTTACCTTGGAAGCAGACAGGATCCATTTCTTGTTGTTGCTGACAGCAACATCTGTCACCCAGTCATTATGGCCCTGAAGAAATAACAAATTTTCATGAGAACATGGAGAAAAATCATTTTGAAAAACAACAGAAACAATCTGCGTGTGGTGGCTCCCACCCGTAACCTGCCCTTTGGGATGCCGAGGTGGAAGGGTCACTTGAGCCCAGGAGGTGGAAGTTGCAGGGAGCCGTGATCATGCCACTGCACTCCAGCCTGGGCAACAGAGTGAGATCCCCTATCTTAGAAAACAACAGAAAGTCAAGAGTCCAGCGTTGCTTACATTTAAGAGTAGCTGGCTGAGCGCAGTGGCTTACGCCTGTAACCTCAACACTCTGCGGGGTTGAGGTGGATGGATTCCTTGAGTCTAGGAGTTTGAGAACAGCCTGGACAACATAGTGAAACCCTGTCTCTACAAAAATACAAAATATTAGCTGGGCATGTCATGCGCCTGTAATCCCAACTACTCAGGAGGCTAATGTGGGAGAATCACCTGAGCCCTGGGAGGTTGAGGCTGCAGTGATTCATAATCATGCCACTGCACTCCAGCCTGGGCGACAGAGTGAGACCGTCTCAAAAAAAAGCAAGGGGGGTGCGGCAGGGGGAGGCTCATGCCTATAATCCCAGCACTTTGGGAGGCCAAGGCGAGTGGATCATGAGGTCTGAAGTTCAAGACCAGCCTGGCCAGCATAGTAAAACCCCATCTCTACTAAAAATACAAAAATTAGCCAGTCATGGTGGTGCGTACCTGTAGTCCCAGCTACTCAGGAGGCCAAGGCAGGAGAATCACTTGAACCTGGGAGGCAGAGGTTGCAGTGAGCTGAGATCAGGCCACTGCACTCCAGCCTCGGTACAGTGAGACTCCGTCTAAAAAAAAAAAAAAGGGAAAGAGCAGAACAGTTCATTGTACTTCCTTGGTCTCGTCAGCAACATTTAGGGTAGAATACAAAGTGTAAAGACGTGATATATGCACATCTATTTTTTTTTAATGGGTGGGGCAGGACTGGATTGGGATAGGGGACAGGCAGGTGGAGTTGGGGACAGGGCTGGGTTCGGGGCTGGAAGGAGGGTGAGCACTGAGGTCTGTTGTTGTTTCTGTTTGTTTGTTTGTTTTTTGAGACACAGTTTTGTTCTTGTTACCCAGGCTGGAGTACAATGGTGCAATCTCCGCTCACTGCAACCTCCACCTCCTGGGTTCAAGTGATTCTCCACCCTCAGCCTCTCAAGTAGCTGGGATTATAGGTGCCTGCCACCGTGCCCAGCTAATTTTTGTATTTTTAGTAGAGACAAGGTTTCACCATGTTGGCCAGGCTGGTCTCGAACTCCTGACCTCAAGTGATCCACCTGCTTCAGCCTCCCAAAGTGCTGGGATTACAGGCATGAGCCACCATGCCCAGCCCATTCTTTGTTTATGTATTTAGTTTTTCTTATTTTGAGGCAGGGTCTCACTCTGTTCCCCAGGCTGGAGCGTAGCAGCTCAGTCATAGCTCACTGCAGCCTCAACCTCCTGGGCTCAAGTGATTCTGCTGCCTCAACCTCCCGAGTAGCTGGGACTACAAATGTGTGTGCCATTGTGTATGTTTTTTTAAAATAGTACTCAGGCATTTAGCAGGATGGGGGGAGAAATACTATATTCCCAGCTGGTCTCAGATTTTCATTTACATTCTTTGTTCTAGGAAACACCCCTCAGAGGCCCTGTAAATGAGGGGGCTTTTGGCTTCCAATAACTGCAGACTTGATCCACTGTGGCTCAAGCAGAGGCAGGAGTGGGATGTTTTCTTTGGGTAAAAAGGAACTCAGAGCAGATAGATGCCATTGCTGCCTCAGACACTGAATGATGTCTGGCTCTGTGCCAGCGTCTCTGTCCTCCTTTGGCCTTCCCCATGTGGAAAGAGGCGGAAGGTGAGACCATGGTGTGGTCAGAGGAAAGGATTAAGCTTCTTAGTATAATAAAAGGATAGGAATTTGAGGATGGGAGAACAGAGAGAGAGGAGAGAAGAGGAGACAAAATAGAACAACCAGCTCTGTTACCCAGGCTGGAGTGCAGTGGCACAACCTTGGCTCACTGCAACCTCTACCTCCCAGGCTCCTCTAGTGATTTTCTTTTTTCTTTTTTTTTTTTTTTTAGACGGAGTTTCCCTCTTGTTGCCCAGGCTGAAGTGCAATGACGTGATGACGTGATCTTGGCTCACCACAACCTCCACCGTTCAAGCGATTATCCTGCCTCAGCCTCCCGAGTAGCTGGGATTACAGGCATCTGTCACCATGCCTGACTAATTTTTGTATTTTTAGTAGAGACGGGGTTTCACTATGTTGGCCAGGCTGGTCTCGAACACCTGACCTCCAGTGATCCTCCAGCCTCTGCCTCCCAAAGTGCTGTGGGAATCTAGGCATGAGCCACCGCACCCGGATGACAGAGGGACTTTAAGCACAGAGAGGTTTAACATTCCATTTCAAGCTGTTTATTTGCTGTGAGCAAACTCATTTTGCCTCCCCAAGTCCTAGGAGAAGACAGCTCAGACAGACCAGCCCCAGGGACCTGAACATGGGCTGCTCAAGGATACATTCCTTTGTGTCTCTGGGCACAGAAAGACCAAGCATTCACAGCCAAAGGTGACAGTGAGATCGTGAAACCAGGGAGTATGCAGAAATCCTGGGTACAGGGCCCCTTGGGGAACAGGGGCATAGAATGAGGCAATCCTGGGTTCTGGCCATGTTGGATTACACATCCCCTTATCATAGAGCCACTCTGAGTTAGGGCTTCTCTCACTTGCAGCCAAGAACATTCAACTGACACCCCCATTTTGGAACCCCAAGCTTTCATGCCTCACTACGCCTTTCATGCCATCCCTCTGCACAGTAATTTCTGGTTATTTTGTTTTGTTTTGTTTTGACTTGTTTTGTTAGAGGTGGAGTCTCACTCTGTCGCCTAGGCTGGAGTGCAGTGGTGCGATCTGAGCTCACTGCAACCTCCGTCTCCCAGGTTCAAGCGATCCTCCCACTTCAGCCTCCCAAGTAGCTGAGACTACAGGTGCACACCACGATGCTAGGCTGATTTTTGTATTTTTAGTAGAGATGGGGTTTCACCATGTTGGCCAGGCTGGTCTCAAACTCCTGACCTCAGGTGATCCGCCCACCTCAGCCTCCCAAAGTACTGGAATTACAGGCGCACCTGGCCCTGCACCTGGCCCTGCACCTGGCCCTGCACAGTAACTTCTGCTGTTCTTGGACACTCCCACCTCGGAGTTTTTGCATTGGCTGTTTCATCTGCCTGAAATCCTCTTCTTCAAGATCCCCACCCGGTTCTCAGCTCAAACACTTCCTTCTCCAGGAAGCTCTCCCTGCCCATGCAATGTGGATGGGTTCCCCACGTCTGTACCCATCATGTCACCCTGTTGTGGTTTCTCCATTTCACTCCTCAAAGCCAGTGGTGTGTCTGCTGGCTTCTTGTCTATCCTTCATCAGCCCACGGGAGACATCTAGGTCTGTGTCACCCACAGCTGTGTCCCCAGCACCCAGCACTGAGCATGGGAAGGACTCAGGAGGGAAGCTCAGATCCTCCATCTCATGCTGGCCACATGTACCTTCAAGGAGAGCTTCCGGTAGCCTTCTGCTACGTCCCAAATAGCCACAGTCCTATCAAACCCTCCAGAAATGAGAAAAGAGCCTGCAACACAAAATGAAAGGGTGGAGATGGGGGTCATCTTTCCAAGCCAAGTCAGCCCAAAGCCGGCTGAGGATGCCTTGGCAAGGCACCACCTCAGCTCACTCTGACTACACCGAAACCCTTCTTGGGGCAGCTCCACAACCCCAAGCCAATTACAGCTGATTCTCATCATTCACAGTAGTTATGTTCAATGGCAGGGGTCCCAAACCCTGGGCCACAGACTGGTACCAATCTGTGACCTGTTGGGAACCGGACCACACAGTAGGCGGTGAGCGGCAGGCAAGCAAGCCAAAGCTTCGTCTATATTTACAGCTGCTCCCCATCACTCATCTTACCACCTGAGCTCCGCCTCCTGTCAGATCAGCAGCTGCATACGATTCTTATAGGAGCGCAACCCTATTGTGAACTGTGCATGCAGGGGATCTGGGTTGCATACTCTTTATGAGAATCCAAAGCCTGATGATCTGTCACTGTCTCCTGTCAAACCCAGATGGGACTGTGTAGTTGCAGGGAAACAAGTTCAGGGCTCCCAATGATTCTACAGTATGGTGAGTTGTATAATTATTTCACTATATAGTACAGTGTAATAATAATAAAAATAAAGGGCATGCTTGGATCATCCCAAAATCATCCCCCACACCTCCGTTTGTGGAAAAGTTGTCTTCCATGAAATTGGCCCCTGGTCCCAAAAAGGTTGGGGACCTCTGTTCTATAAAGTTGACGCAGACGTGGAATTAGCGAATACTGAACCATTGCTCCCAGGGGAAATACAGGGCCAGGTTCCTGTGAGCCTCAGCTCCCAACATGCTCCTCAGCTGATCAGTATATAACCTTGTTGTATGTGTGTTTCTGTTTAAAGACAACTGATTGCATATATACTGTTGATTCGTTTACATCGAACTCACAGCCAACAGCACTATAACTCTTGCCTGAATGAATGCATGTATTTTCCCCATCATAGCGTTCTTGCTCTTAGGAATAGTAAACAGCCCTTCAGCACTGTGGCTGGGGACCATTCTATTTATTTATTTATTTTTGGGGACAAAGTCTTGCTCTGTCACCCAGACTGGAGTGCAGTGGTGCAGTCATAATTCATAGCAGCTTCAAACTCCTGGGCTTAAGCGATCCTCCCACTTCAGTTCCCAAGTAGCTGTGACTCTAAGCATGTGCCAGCACACCCGGTTAATTTTTTTTTTTTTTTTTTTTGGTAGAGATGGGGTCTCACTATATTGCTCAGGCTGATCTCAAACTCGGGGGCTGAAGCAATGCTCCCACCTCAGCCTCCCCAGAGCTAGAATTAAAGGCGTGAGCCACTGCACACAGCCAAAGGAGCCATTTTACACAGCTAAATCATTAACAAAAAGCAAAACAAAGGTGGGGCATGGTGGCTCATGTCTGTAATCCCAGCACTTTGGGAGGCTGACCAACAAGGTTGCCATGCTCCCAAAGGTTTCCTGACCAACATGGCAAAACCTCATCTCTATGAAAAATACAACAATTAGATGAGGGTGGTAGTGCACACCTGTAATCCCAGCTACTTGGAAGGCTGGGGCAGGAGAATCATTTGAAGCCAAAAGGCAGTGGTTTCAGTAGCCGAGATTGCACCACTGCACCCCAGCCTGGGCAACAGAGGGAGTAAACAAATGAACAAACAAAAAATGGTGGCCCTATACAGACCACAAAAAGGACACTTTACCATGTGAGAGGTAAAACAAGAAGACGGAACGTTGCCTTGTCCACCCTCAGCTGGGAGGTGACTTACAGTTTTTGCTGCTCTTTATGCCTGTGAGTGACCTTGAAAGTGCCGTGAATGTTGACTTTAGGTTTACAAATAGAGAGCAGCAAGCAGGTGAATTCACAAACACAGAATCTGGAATAATCATGATTGACTGTATATGATTCTCTTTTTTTTTTTTTTTTTTTTTTTGAGACGGAGTCTTGCTCTGTTGCCAGGCTGGAGTGCAGTGGTGCGATCTTGGTTCACTGCAACCTCTGCCTCCCAGGTTCAAGCAATCCTCCTGCCTTAGCCTCCCAGTAGCTGGGACTACAGCCATGCGCCACCATGCCCAGCTAACTTTTATATTTTGTGTAGAAACAGGGTTTCACCATGTTGGCCAGGATGGTCTCAATCTCTTGACCTCGTGATCCACCCGTCTCAGCCTCCCAAAGTGCTGGGATTACAGGCGTGAGCCACCGTGCCCGGCCAATATATTTTAATATATATTTTTATTATATATAAAATCAGAGGTAGGATGTGTGTGTGTGTGTGTGTGTGTGTGTGTGTGTGTGTATATATTTTTTTTTTTTAAGAGACAGAGTCACTCTGTCACCCAGGCTGGAGTGCAGTGGTGTAATCTAAGCTCACTGCAGCCTCTGCCTACCAGGTTCAAGTGATTCTCCTGCCTCAGCCTCCTGAGTAGCTGGGTTTATAGGTGCCCACCAGCACACCTGACTAATTTTTGTATTTTTTAGTAGAGATGGGGTTTCACCACGTTGGCTAGGCTGATCTTAAACTCCTTACTTCAGGTGATCCTCCCACCCTTCAAGCTCCCAAAGTGCTGGGATTACAGGCATGAGCCATTGTACCAGACCTTTTTTTTTGGCTTTTTCGACATAGAGTCTCACTCTGTTGCCCAGGCTGGAGTACAGTAGCACAATTATAGCTCACTGCAGCCTCGGCCTCTTGAATAGCTGAGACTACAGGTGTGTACCACCACACTCAGATAATTTTTAAACTTTTTGTAGAGACGGGGTCTTACTATGTTGCCTGGGCTGCTGTTGAACTCCTGACTTCAAGCAATCCTCCCACCTCGGCCTCCCAAAGCGTCGGGACTACAGGCGTGAGCCATCACACCCAGCCATCTTTGCCGCCTTCTGCGTAAAGGCTGACCCAGAGGGAAGCTAGGTTAAGAGAGTGAAGAGCTGAGTTCCCAGCAGCGTTGACTCTCTTGTCCCATCCATACCTGATGTCAGACCTGCTCTTGGACTTCTCCATTACAGGAGTTAATTTATTTGGTTGTCTAAGCCACATTGAGCTGAGTTTCTGCCACTATAAACTCGTGCCTATGGTCTTCCCTCTTGACTTTTTTGTTCTCGTAGGGAAAAATCCCCCCTCCCTGTCAGCATCACTGGAAATCAGCTCTCTGTCTGCACTGAGAGTCCATTTGAATGGAACATGAAGAACTCTGCCCAGCATTCCCACAGGAGTGGAGTCCTTCTGTGTGTTAATTACTCACTGTCTCTGGCAAAGTGACAGGAGCTGACGGAACCTTCATGGCCCTGCATCAGGGTCACACAGGCTCCATGGTTTCGAAACTCCCCTGTGTGGACGTTCCATATTTTTAAGTTTTTATCCCAGGAGCTTGTACACAGGAAGTGGCCACTGAAGGTAAAACAGCAGTTTGAGATTGCATTGGAATGCGCCCTGAAACACAGATGGTGGGGTGCACACGTTAGCACTTTGCCCCAGGAGGACCTGAAGACACACCTAAGCAGGGGTCAGCATCTCCCAGGAGCTCACGTCCATCATGCCTTGGATCACTGCCTACCATGGTCCAGATATGAATTGCTCAGACTGTCACGCTGCCAGCATTTCTCAAAACATGGCGAGACAGTGTTTTACCATGTTACCAAGACTGCTCCCAAACTCCTGGGCTCCAGCGATCCACCTGCCTTGGCTTCCTAGAATAGTACTGGGATTACAGGCTTGAGACACCGCACGGGCCAACATTGTTTATAAAGCAAACATAAGACTCTGAAGGGTGCAGGAAAGAGGCAGAACAGTTAGGGGTCTTGACACCCAAGCAACACCCACCATGGGTACCTGGTTTCCTTTTTGTGTCATATCTCCTGTACTAGGAGCTAAAAAGCCAGCAACCAAAAACTAAACTAAACTACAGGCCAGGAGCAGTGGCTCCCGCCTATAATCCCAGCACTGTGGGAGACTGAGGCTGGTGGATCACCCGAAGTTAGGAATTCGAGACCAGCCTGGACAACATGGTGAAACACTGTCTCTACCAAAAATACAAAAATTAGCCAGGCATGGTGGCATGTGCTTGTAATCCCAGCTACTCAGGAGGCTGAGGCAGGAGAATCATTGTACCTGGGAGGCAGAGGCTTCGATGAGCTGAGATCACACTACCATACTCCAAACTGAGCAATAGAGCTAGACTCAGTCTCTAAATAAATAAATAAACTACAAACCATATGATTGAAGGCAAAAGAAAAGAGGGAGGACGGTCTCTACTAAAAATACAAAAGTTCCGGGCGTGGTGGCACGTGCCTGTAATCCCAGCTACTCCGGAGGCTGAGGTAGGAGAATTGCTTGCACCTGGGAGAAGGGAAGTGCAGTGAGCTGAGATTGCGCCATTGCACTCCAGCCTGGGCAACAAGCGCAAAACTCTGTTTAAAAAAAAGTGATTTTTGGGCCAGGCGCGGTGGCTCAAGCCTGTAATCCCAGCACTTTGGGAGGCCGAGGCGGGTGGATCACGAGGTCAAGAGATCAAGACCATCCTGGTCAACATGGTGAAACCCCGTCTCTACAGAAAATACAAAAAATTAGCTGGACATGGTGGCGCGTGCCTGTAATCCCAGCTACTCAGGAGGCTGAGGCAGGAGAATTGCCTGAACCCAGGAGGCGGAGGTTGCGGTGAGCCGAGATCGCGCCATTGCACTCCAGCCTGGGTAACAAGAGCGAAACTCCGTCTCAAAAAAAAAAAAAGAAAAAAAAAGTGATTTTTAAAAATGGCTGAAATTTTACAAAATTTGGCAAAATATATAAACCTACAGCTTCAAGAATCTGAGTAAAACCTAACAGGATAAATCCAAAGAAATCTACACCCAGACACATAATTGCACTTTGGAAAACTAAGGACAACAAAACTATCTTGAGAGCAGCAGCAAGAGAGAAATGACTTCTTTACCTAGAGGAGAAAAGCAATATGAATGAGAGTGGATTTCTTTCTTTCTTTCTTTTTGAGACAGAGTTTCAGAGTTTTGCTCTTGTTGCCCAGGCTGGAGGGCAATGGCGCAATCTCAACTCACCATAACCTCCACCTCCCGAGTTCAAGCAATTCTCCTGCCTCAGCCTCCCCAGTAGCTGGGATTACAGGCGTGTGCCACCATGTCCGGCTAATTCTGTATTTTTAGTAGAGACGGGGTTTCTCCATGTTGGTCAGACTGGTCTCAAACTCCCGACCTCAGGTGATCCACCTGCTTCGGCCTCCCAAAGTGCTGGGATTACAGGTGTGAGCCACCATGCCCAACCCAAGAGAGGATTTCTCTCTTTTTTTTTTTTGACATAGAGTCTTGCTCTGTCGCCCAGGCTGTAGTGCAGTGGTGCAATCTCAGCTCACTGCAACCTCCGCCACATGGGTTCAAGCAATCCTCCCACCTCAGGCTCTGGAGTAGCTGGGATCACAGGCGCCCGCCACCATGCCAGGCTAGTTTTTGTATTTTTAGTAGAGATGGGGTTTCACCATATTATCCAGGCTGGACTCAAACTCCTGACTTCAAGTGATCTGCCCGCCAGTGCCTCCCAAAGTGCTGGGATTACAGACTTGAGCCACCACGCCGGCCTTCTCTTGAATTTTCTGAATCATGTTTGCCAATTGAAGCTAAAAGTTATGAAAAGTACTTAAGGTATACCCTTTGCAAGCTTCAAAATCAGTTGAGATTATGAATTTTTTAAATCCTCTAGCGAGACCAGCTATATCATTTTCAGGTCTTAGTGCAAAATTTAAAAGCAAGGTCCCCATTCCTGAAAATGCTAAGCACAGTATTACCATATGATCCAACAATTCTACTCCTGGGTATACAGCATAAGGAGTTAAAAGCAGGCCAGGTGCAGTGGTTCACACGTGCCATCCCAGCACTTCGGGAAGCCAAAGTGAGAGTATCACTTGAGCTCAGCAGTTCAGGACTAGCCTAGGAAACATAATGAGACCCCATCTCTGCAAAAAATTTAAAAATTGGCCGGGCATGGTGGTGTGTGCCTATAGTCTCAGCTACTCAGGAGGCAGGAGGATCACTCGAGCCCAGGAATCTGAGGCTGCAGTGAGCTATGATCATGCCACTGCACTCCCGCCTGGGCAACAGAGAAAGACTCTGTCTCAAAAATAATAATAATAACATAAAATATAAAGAATTGAAAGCAGGAACTCAAAGTTATGTGTACATGTGTCCATAGCAGCATTTTCACAATAACTGAAACAACGTCAGAGTTCATCAACAGATAAACAGATGAACAAAATGTGGTGTATACACCCACGATGCAATACTGTTCAGTCATCAAAAGGAATGAAGTTCTTAATCCCAAGACTGTGGGAGACCAAGGCAGGTGGATCACCTGAGGTCAGGAGTTCAAAACCAGCCTGGCTAACATGGTGAAACCCAGTCTCTACAAAAAATACAAAAATTAACCAGGTATGGTGGCATATGCCTGTAACCCCAGGTGCTCAGGAGGCTGAGGCAGGAGAATCACTTGAACCCAGGAGGTGGAGGTTGCAGTGAGCTCAGATGGCGCCACTGCACTCTAGCCTGGGCGACACAGCGAGATTACCTCTCCAAAAAAAAAAAAAAAGGAATGAAGTTCTGATGCAGGCTACAACACAGATGAACCTTGAGGATACAGACAAACTAAAGGTTGCTCCGGGCTGGGGGCGCGGGGAGTGGGGAGTTACTGCCTAATGGGTAGAGAGCTTCTGCCTGAGATGATGAAACCGTTCTGGAACTAGATAGTGATGACGGTTGCACAACACTGTCAATGTAATGAATGCAGTGAACTGCACACTTCAAAATGGTTAAAATGTCAAGTTTATGTCATATAGATATTACCAAAATTTTTTAAATGGTAATGTAATATCTCCAAAACCACTTAATTCATTTTATTTATTAATTTAATTTTCGAGACAGGGTCTTACTTCATTGTCCAGGCTGGAGTGCAGTGGTGCAATCAGAGCTCACAGCAGCCTCTAACTCCTGGACTCAAGCAATCCTCCAGCCTCAGCCTCCTGAGTAGCTGGGACTACAGGTGTATGACACCACACCCAGCTAATTTTTAAATCTTTTGTGGAGATGGGGTCTCGTGACATTGTCCAGGCCAGTCTTGAACTCCTGGCCTGAAGTGATCCTCCCACTTTGGCCTCCCAAAGCTCTTGGATTATAGCCATGAGCCACATGCCCAGCTAGACCTTCCCATTTTACAGGAAATGCTGGAAGTTCACATTCTGTGGGCTTGTCTGCACAAAGGTTTCCACTAGTGGCTCACATATATGAGGTCCAGCCCAGCCCACAGGTCACAGCTGATGGCTCCCCCGGCCTGCCCGCCCCTAGCCTTCTCCTAGCACCCAAGACCAAGCTACAGACGTGTCCACATTGACTCCGGCTTGTGTGGAATCCAAGAGGGAATGCATGGGAATGCCCTGCCCAGCTCCCTTTTGGCTTCCTGTGGCCCAACTCACTTGGTGATGGTGAGCAGCGTGGCCTGGGATGTAACATCCCAGATCTTGATGCACCTGTCCAGTGAGACAGAAGCCACCTTCTGGCTGTCGGGGTCAAAGCAGCATGACGTGATGGACCTTGTGTGATGATCTGCAGAACATGGGAAGGGAATCGAGATCATGCCTTCCCCATGCTGGGCTGGAGGTAGAGTGAAGTGGGATATTGGGGGCTATTAGGGGAGCTGTGGGGCAGTGCACATTGCATAGTGCCACATTGAGAAAAAGAAACACAAAGCACATATGAGAAGCAATGCTGTGTGTGCAAATACACGTACAGTACACACAGGTACACACAGGGTTCAGGAAGGCTGCCCCGCAATGTATAGTTCATAAAACGTACCTCTGGGGAGGAGACAGGACTGACACAACAGCCTTTTGCTTTTTTCCTTACATAATGAATTTTTTTTAATTTCATTTTTGAGACAGGGTCTTGCTCTGTCACCTGGGCTGGAGCGCAATGGCTCGATCTTGGCTCACTGCAACCACTGCCTCCCGGGTTCAAGCAATTCTCCTGCCTCAGCCTCCCAGAGCTGGGATTATAGGCACCCACCAGCACACTTGGCTAATTTTTGTATTTTTAGGAGAGACAGGGTTTCACCATGTTGGCCAGGCTGGTCTCAAACTTTTCTGCTCAGGTGATCCACCCGCATCAGCCTCCCAAAGTTCTGGGATTGCATGGCGTGAGCCACTGTGCCTGGCCGATAATGAATGTCTTTACAATGATTACATTTTTTTTTTTTTTTTCTGAGATGGAGTTTCACTCTTGTTACCCAGGCTGGAGTGCAATGGCGTGATCTCGGCTCACCGCAACCTCCGCCTCCTGGGTTCAGGCAATTCTCCTGCTTCAGCCTCCTCAGTAGCTGGGATTACAGGCACGTGCCACCATGCCCAGCTAATATTTTGTATTTTTAGTAGAGACGGGGTTTCACCATGTTGACCAGGATGGTCTCAATCTCTTGACTTCGTGATCCACCCGCCTCGGCCTCCCAAAGTGCTGGGATTACAGGCTTGAGTCACCACTCCCGGCCAATTACATTTTTTAAACTTTAATTTTAAGATAACTGTAAACTCACATGCAGATGTAAGAATAACAGAGAGATCCCCCCTGTCCTTCACCCAGCAGCCCCCTTGGGAACATGTGGCATCACCCTCACACAATGTCCCAATCAGGAAACTGTCATATGACAATTACTATTTCTACATTTTAAAAATAAGCTGGGCACAGTAGCTCAAGCCTGTAATCCCAGCATTTTGGGAGACCAAGGTGGGCAGATCACCTGAGGTAAGGAGCTCAAGACCAGCCTGCTCAACATGGTGAAACCCTGTCTCTACTAAAAATACAAAAATTAGCTGGACATAGTGGCAGGCTCCTGTAATCCCAGCTACTCAGGAGGCTGAGGCAGGAGAATCTCTTGAACTGGGGAGGTGGAGGTTGCAATGAGCCAAGGTCACACCACTTCACTCCAACCTGGGCGACAGAGTGAGATTCCAACTCAAAAAAAAAAAAAAAAAAATACAGGTAGGCCGGGTGAAGGGGCTTCTGCCTATAATGCCTCACTTTGGGAGGCTGAGCGAGGAGGATTGCTTGAGTCCAGGAGTTTGACATCAGCCTAGGAACATAGCCAGACCCTGTCTCTACAAAAAAAAAAAAAAAAAAAAACGGTAAAAATGTTAAGAAGGCCAAGGCTCCGCTCAATAAAAGATTAGGCTTAATGACCACATGAGGTTGGAAATGAACATTGCATCATTTGTTAAAAGCACAAGACTGAATGAAGGGAAAAGCATTAACTGAAGAGGATCTGTTTTGGTGTGTTTTTTGTTTATTGATTGATTTATTTTTGAGATGGAACCTCACCCTGTCTTCCAGGCCGGAGTCCAGTGGCTCTATCTCAGCTCATTACAGCCTCCACCTCCGGGATCAAATGATCCTCCCACTTCAGCCTCCCAAGCAGCTGGGACTACAGGTGCACGCCATCACACCCAGCTAGTTTTTTCATTGTTTTCAGTAGGGACAGGGTTTCACCCTGTTGCCCAGGCTGGTCTCAAACTCCTGGGCTCAAGCAACCTCCCAAAGTGCTGGGATTACAGGTGTCATCCCAGCCACCACCCCCAGCCTAGTGTCCCAGCTTCAAGGACGTGCTTCATACCATTACAGTTTCACCAAATAAAGCAATGGAAGGTCACTGTCAGTGACAAGCGGCTATTCCTGGGGCGGACTGAAGAGACAGGGAGCCCACACACCCTCACCTTTGACAACGGAAACGGTGCTGATGTTCTCAGCGTCTATGATGCAGATTCCGTGATCCACGTCGAAGCCCGAGACCACGTATTTACCATCAGGAGAAAACTTACAGGACACGATGAAGGTGTCATACCTGACCTTCCACTGAAATGGAGCAACAATCAAAAAGTTGTTTTAGGCCAGGTGTGGTGTGTCGCACCTGTAATCCCAGTGCTTTGGGAAGCCAAGGCTGGAGGATCGCTTGAGACTGGGAAGCTGAGACCTGCCTGGGCAACATGCAAGGTCTCCAGCTCTACAAAAGTAAAAAATTAGACAGGTAAGCCTGGGTACGGTGGCTCACACCTGTAATCCCAGCACTTTGGGAGGTCGAGGTGGGTGGATCATCTGAGGTGGGAGTTTGAGACCAGCCTGACCAACATGGAGAAACCCCGTCTCTACTAAAAATACAAAAACTTAGCCAGGCATGGTGGTGAATGCCTGTAATTCCAGCTATGCAGGAGGCTGAGGCAGGAGAATTGCTTGAACCCAGGAGGTTGAGGTTGCGGTGAGCCGAGGTCGTGCCACTGTACTCTAGCCTGGGTAACAAGAGTGAGACTCCGTCTCAAAAAAAAAAATTAGCAAGGTGTGGTGGTGCTCACCTGTAGTCCCAGCTACTTGGGAGGCTAAGGCAGGAGGATCATCTGAGCCCAGGAGTTTGAGGCTGCAGTGAGCAATGATGGCGCCACTGCACTTCAGCCTGGGTGACAGAGATTGCAAGACCCCAACTCTAAAAATCATCATCATCAAATAAAAACTTGGCCTACCTTGTCTTTATAAAAATGTTTACAATGAATATGAATTGGCCTTTGCACTAACAAGAAAGGTTGTTTTTCAAGGAAAGGAAGGAGGAAGGGAGAGGAAAGGCCTGCAGGAGCTGAGAGGGAGGGACGGATGGTAGGGTTGAGGCAGGAGACCTGGAGGAGGCCCCTGAGCAGGGCTGTGGCTACCTGGAGGGGGAGCAGGGCTGGGTGGGAGTCTTGGCCTGTGGGATGGACGGACAGTGGCCCCCTCCAAGAGAGAAAGAGAACAGACTGGTAAGGGCCAGAACCCTGGTTCTTGAGGGCCCAAAGCGTTTCTCCCATGGCCTCAGCCCCACTTCCTGCCTATTCATATCCAAACATCTTACAGGGGAGCCTGGAATACCAGCCCCCACACCCCACCCTGATTTGGCTTCATTCTGTGAATGAAGAAGCAGAAGGCTTTCAAGCAGAAGCCTTCGTTCCATCTGCCTCCTCCAGGAGTCTTCCTCCCCCAGCGCCCATCCTCCAACCCCTGCATCCTCTGGACTTTCTGCAAGCAATGGCTGCTGTGGGGTGCAGGTTACACCAGCACTTTCCATCCCCAGCAACACCCTTCATTCCTAGAAGACTGGAGCTTTTGTCACCTCCCTCGACCCTGGGGCCAACCCAAGCTGCCTAAGGCTGGGCCAAGCCCCTGGGCCCCAGCGCTGGGCAGGCATACATACCAGCAGCTTCCCTGTCTCCAGGTCCCAGGCCCTCACTGTCTTATCATAGGAGGCAGCAAGGACTCTGAAAATAAAATGACAAACATTGGTTCTTTTCTTTTTTCTTTTTTTTTTTTTAGGAGTTTGACATCCCTCTGTCGCCCAGGCTAGAGTGCAATGGTTTGATCCCAGCTCACTGCAACCTCCACCTCCCAAGTTCAAGTGATCCTCCTGCCTCAGCCTCCCCAGTAACCGGGATTACAGGAGCCTGCTACAACGCCCAGTTAATTTTTGTATTTTTAGTAGAGACAGGGTTTCACCATTTTGGCCAGGCTGGTCCCAAACTTCTGACCTCAATGATTCACCTGCCTCGGCCCCCAGAGTGCTGGGGATTACAGGTGTGAGCCACCACACCCGACCAGATAAACATTGATTCTTTACAACAGAGACAATTAAGACTGTGGTCCTTACCATTCTCCTCTCCCTTCTCCTCCCCTCCCCTCCTTTCCTTTTCTTTTTTGAGACAGGGTGTCACTCTGTCATCCAGGCTGCAGTCCAGTGGTGCAACCCTGAGCTTCTGGGCCCAAGTGATCCTACTGCCTCAGCCTCCCAAATAGCTGGGACTATGGGCACTCATCGTCATAGCTGGTTATTTTTAATTTTTTTTAGAGACCAGAGTCCTACTGTATAGTCCAGGCTGGTCTCAAACTCCTGGCCTCAAGTGCCCCTCTCACCTCAGCCCCACCAAAGCACTGGGATTACAAGAATGAGCCACCACCCCTTGCCTGCCTGTGACTTCTATGAAGACTTTTTTTCCTTTTTCTAATTTAGGGCCAAGATTACAAATAAAACAATCATATTTAAAAGACTGTTCTATCACCCACCCTAGGGACCATTCGATTCTCATTGAAACTAGAGAGAACCAGTAGAGCACAGTGGCTCACACCTGGGTAATCCCAGCACTTTGGGAGGCTGAGGTGGGCAGAACACCTGAAGTCAGGAGTTCGAGACCAGCCTGGCCAACATGGTGAAACCCCGTCTCTACTAAAAATACAAAAATTAGCCAGGCGTGGTGATGGGCACCTGTAATCCCAGCTACTTGGGAGGCCAAGGCACAAGAATCTCTTAAACCGGGAGGCGGAGGTTATAGTGAACCAAGATCGTACCACTGCACTCCAGTTGGGGGCAGCAGACACACCATCTCAAAAGAAAATGGAACCTAACACAGGAGGAACCACAGCATCGTCATCCCCTTGCTCTTCAGCCACCCACACATGCTCCTTTGTATCAAGGGTTTTCAAAGTATTATTTCTTCCATTTTCCTCTTCTTTTGTTTTTGTTTTTTTGAGACAGAGTTTTGCTCTTGTTGCCCAGCTTGGAGTGCAATGGTGCAATCTCGGTTCACTGCATCCTCTGCCTCCTGGGTTTAAGCGATTCTCCTGCCTCAGCCTCCCATGTAACTGAGATTACATGTGCCACCACGCCCAGCTAATTTTGTATTTTTAGTAGAGATAGGGTTTCTCCTTGTTGATCGGGCTGATCTCAAACTCCTGACCACAGGTGATCCACCCGCCTCAGCCTCCCAACTGTTTTCCTCTTCTAAAGGGATCTCTATACCCAGAAAAATAAATCACTTTCCTCTCTGCTCACATATCTGTCTTTTCACAGGAATATAGTTCAAGAGACTACTTATTTTGTTCTGAAATGTTTTCTTGTACAAAAAACATAAATGTATCCTTGTCTTCTTACACGGCATGTTCCTGTGTGTAAAGTTTGTCCTCTATATAAGACAAATTCCCAGGCAGGCATGGTGACTCATGCCTGTAATCCCAGTACTTTGGGAGGCCGAGGCAGGCTGATCACCTGCAGTCAGGAGTTCAAGAAGAGCCTAGCCAACATGGGGAAACCCCTTCTCTACTAAAAATACAAAAATTAGCAAGGCTTGGTGATGTGCACCTGTAGTCCCAGCTACCCAGGAGACTGAGGCAGGAGAATCACTTGAACTCAGGAGGTAGAGTTTTCAGTGAGCCAAGATTGCATCCCTGCACTACAGCCTGGGCAACACAGCGGAACTCCATCTCAAAAAAAAAAAAAGATAAATTCCCATGAAACTTACATTCTTATGCCAGTTTTCTACTAACTATGTTATAGCTCCTGTTCAGGGTTAAAGTAAATCAATTTTAAAACAAATTCCTGGTGGGGGTGGTGGCTCGTGCCTACAATCATAGCATTTGGGAGGCCAAGGCAGGAGGTTCATTTGAGCCCCAGAGTTGAAGGCTGCAGTAAGCTATGATTGCACCACTGCACTCCAGCCTGGGTGACAAAGCAAGATCCTAGCTCAAAAACAAAACAGGCCTAGCACAGCAGCTCACGCCTGTAATCCCAGCACTTTGGGAGGCCAAGGCAGGACTGTTTGAGCCTAGGAGTTTGAAACCAGCTTGGACAATATGGCAAAACCCTATCTCTACAAAAATTAGCCAAGTATGGTGGTGCACACCTGCAATCCCAGCTACTCAGGAGGCTGAGGCAGGAGGATCACTGAGCCCAGGAGTTCGAGGCTGCAGTGAGCCGTGTTTGCACCACCACATTCCAATCTTGCAATAGAGCAAGATCCTGTCTAAATAAAAAATTAAAATTAAAAAAGCCCAGGAGTGGCGGTTCATGCCTGTAATGCCAACACTTTGGGATGCCAAGGCAGGAGGAGAATTGCTTGAGGCCACAGGTTCAAGACCAGCTTAGACCACATGGCGAGACCCCATGTCTATGACTTAAAACAAAAACAGAAACGTCACAGTCATGCCTATACATGGCCTGCCTGCTCGCCCTCCCTCTTCCCAGTGTAAGACAGGGAAAGGTCACCTGCTGCTGTCGGCTGTTATGCTGCACTCTACAACAGGAGCTTTGGGCCTGGGCTCAAAATTGCGAACCACAGAACCATCCACCGCATCCTCAAATCAATGGGAGAGAGAGGGGGAGAGAGTGGTCACTGCCATGTTCACTGAAGTCGTAAATAGAGGTCAATATTAGCCCTTTGCTTGTCTCTGGTAGCAAAATCCGAGAACTATATGGTCCTGGGACTCTCACTCAGCTCCGAAAGATGAAAGGACTTTGCAACATGTCCCCTGAGTGGGACGGACACCCTTGCCATTCACAGCATCCATGGGAAACTCCCCCACAGTTCCACAGACACCAGGTGGAAACTGGCCATGCTGGGGACAGAGCTGCAAGCAGATGGTGCTTTCCTTTCCTACTGGCCAAAAAGGCTATGCAGAATCTAGCAATGTCTTCCAGGCCAGGTGTGGTGGCTCACACCCTGTAATCCCAGCACTTTGGGACGCTGAGGTGAGTGGATCGCCTGAGGTCAGGAGTTCAAGACAAGCCTGGCCAATATAGTGAAACTCAGTCTCTACTAAAACTACAAAAAATTAGCCAAGTGTGGTGGCTCACACCTGTATTTCCAGCTACTCGGGAGGCTGAGACAGGAGAATTGCTTGAACCCAGGAAGCAGAGGTTGCAGTGAGCTGAGACCGAGCCACTGCACTCCAGCCTGGGTGACAGAACGAGACTCTGCCTCAAAAAAAAAAAAAATACAAAAATTAGCTGGGCATGGTAGCAGGCGCCTATAGTCCCAGCTATTCAAGAGGCTGAGGCAGGAGAATCACTTGAACCCCAGAGATGGAGGCAGCAGTGAGCCAAGATTGTGCCACTGCACTCCAGCGTGGGCGACAGAGCGAGACGCTGTCCAGAAAAAGAAAGGGAGGGAAGAAAAGAAAAGAGAGAGAGAGAGAGAGAGAGAGACAGAGAGAGAGAGAGGGAGAGAGGGAGGAAGGGAGGGAGGGAGGGAGGGAGGAAAGAAATAAAAAAAAGAAAGAGAGAAAGAAATGATTGTCTTGGGGTGTGGGACCGAGGCCCATGCTCGCACTCTGGGTGGGCCCAGGGCCAGCTCTGGGCAGTACACTGGAATGGATCAGTGTCCACGGGGCTATGTAGCTTTAGACTCGACAGTGACACCACGTAGTTGAGAGCAGGAATGGCGGCTGTGCACAGGTGGGCCCACTCCCTCCACACTGGGCATTTGGAAGCAGGACCCCACCCCCGTGAACCCAGACACTTTAAGGGGGAAATACTGGTTAGACTTCAAATGAATGAGGGAAACAGGAGCTAATAAACAGTTGGAAAATAAAAGAGATGTGACAATATTTGGCATCTAAGTTTATGGTGGGTATGTATTCAGTATTTCTGTACAGTCCCAATTTCTTCCAATTTCTTTTTTTTTTTTTTTCAAGACGGGGTTTCACCATGTTGATCAGGCTGGTCTTGAACTCCCGACCTCAGGTGATCCACCTGCCTTGGCCTCCAAAGTGCTTGGATTACAGGCATGAGCCACCACACCCAGCCACCAATTTCTTAAATGTATGCAGACGTACATGGACAAGAAAAAAACACACAAGCCAACATTTTCACAGCAATTAACTCTGGGGTCATGGAAAGATGAGTTTTTTTCCTTTCTGTATTTTCATATGTTTCCTGTAATAAAAGCATATCACCTTTGTAATAATATGAGAAAAACTACCACATCTTTTTTTTTTTTGGAGACAGGGTCTTGCTCTGTCACCCAGCCTGGAATGCAGTGTCAAGAACATGTCTCACTGAACCCTTGACCTCCTGGACTAAACCAGGAGAGAGATGACATCCTAGGGCCCAGTGCAGCCGAGACTTCCATTCTCTAAAAAAGGTGTGGGTGGGGTGTCCGGGCACAGTGGCTCACGCCTGTAATCCCAACAATTTGGGAGGTAGAAGCAGGCGGATCACTTGAGGCCAGGAGTTTGAGACCAGCCTGGCCAACATAATGAAGCCCCATCGCTACTAAAAATAAAATAAAATAAAATTAGCTGGGTGTGGTGGCATGCCTCTGTAGTCCCAGCTACTAGGGAGGCTGAGGCAGGAGAATCACTTGAACTGAAAGGCAGAGGTTGCAGTGAGTCGAGATCCTGCCATTGTTCTCCAGCCTGGGCAACAGAGCAAGACTCTGTCTCAAAACAAAAAAGAAAGAAAAAGAAAAGGTAAAAAGGTGTGGGGGCCGGGCATGGTGGTTCACACCTGTCATCCCAGCACTTCGGGAGGCTGAAGCAGGTGGATCATCTGAAGTCAGAAGTTCAAGACCAGCCTGGCTAACATGGTGAAACTCTGTCTCTACTAAAAATACAAAATTAGCCAGGAGTAGCGATGCACACCTGTAGTCCTAGCTACTCAGGAGGCTGAGGCGGGAGAATCACTTGAAACCGGGAAGTGGAGGTTGCAGTGAACTGAGATCATGCCATTGTACTCCTGCCCGGGCAACAAGAGCAAAATTCCATCTCAAAAAAAAAAAAAAAAAAAAAATGGGTTCGGTGCTCTCAGTCCAAAGGTCTCCATCCCATTCCCACTGTTTCCAGGTCCACAGACTGGCAGCAGCCACCTTAACTTCACCCAGGCTGGGCCCTCACCTCCCCTTTCTTCTGGTACTTTGCTCAGAAGACATGCAAACCTGGACCCACAGTGCCTGCGAGTTCAGGGCTGAGGAACTCGATATAAGAGGTGCCTAAGTTTAGGAGATGTTTTGGCTCCAGGAGCACCTAACCGCGGGCCACCTACCCACAGCTTCACAGTGCAGTCATAGGAGCCACTGAGGAGCTTTGTGTCATCCACACAGAAGTGGCAAGTACTCACAGTGTGCTCGTGCCCACTCAGAATTTTAAACGGGATCTGATAAAAGAGAGACCAGATGAGTTCAACATGTTGTAGGACACAAGATCAATGTACAATACAATTTTACTTCCAAACACTTGCAACAAACCACCTGGAAAAAATGAATTTTAAAAATTCTGGCCGGGCGCGGTGGCTCACACCTGTAATCCCAGCACTTTGGGAAGCCGAGGCAGGAGGATCACCTGAAGTCAGGAGTTCAAGACCAGCCTGGCCAATATGGCAAAACCTTGTCTCTATTACAAATACAAAAATTAGCCAGGAGTGGTGACACACACCTGTAATTCCAGCTACTCAGGAGGCTGAGACAGAAGAATTGCTTGAACACAGGAGGTGGAGGTTGCAGTGAGCCAAGATTGCACCACTGTACTCCAGCCTGGGCACAGAGTGAGACTCCATCTCAAAAAAAAAAAAAAAATCTGGCTGGGCACAGTGGCTCATGCCTGTAATCCCAGCACTCTGGGAGGCTGGGACAGGAGGATTGCTTGAACCTGGGAGTTCAAGACCAGTCTAGGAAACATAGTGAGACTGCCTGTACAAATTTTTTTTTAAATGGTGATGCACACTTGTAATCCCAGCCACTAAGGAGGCTGAGGCAGGAGGACTGCTTGAGCCCAGGAGGTTAAGGTTACAATGAGCTATGATTGTAGCACTGCACTCCAGCCTGGGTGACGGAGCAAGACTCTGTCTTTAAATAAGTTAATTAAAATTTAAATTTTAAATGGGCCAAGGCTTTGAACAGATATATCTCCAAAGAAGATATGCAAGGGCTGGGCATAGTGGCTCACTCCTATAATCACAGCACTTTGGGAGGCTGAGGCAGGCAGATCACTTGAGGCCAGGAGTTCAAGACCAGCCTGGTTAACATGGCGAAACCATATCTACTAAATATACCAAAAAAAAAAAAAAAAAAAGCCAGCTGCAGTGGTAAATTCCTGTAATCCCAACTACTCAGGAGGCTGAGACATGAGAATTGCTTGAACTCCGGAGGCAGAGGCTGCAGTGAGCTACAATGTCACTGCAGTCCTAGCCTGGGCAACAGAGTGAGACCTTGTTTCAAAAGAATGAAAGAAAATGAAGATATGTAAATAGCTGATAGCACATAAAAAGCTGCTCAACATCACTAAGGAAAAAGCAAATGAAAACTACAATGTGGATGCGTGGTGTCACGGCGCCAGCGTGCGTCGCGTCTCAGGGCGGTCTGCAGAGCTGCATTCTCCTCATATAGACCTGAGGGAAACTCGAGGGCGGAGCTGCATTCTCCACAGCAGAGACCAGGGGATGCCCCTCACTTTGGGACACCTGGATCCCATGTCCACGTGAGTAAAATCTTTCCTGTTTGCCGCCCTGACTGCTGAGGGGCAGATATCCTTCGTGTGGAAAATTAGAAACCCCATCTCTATTAAAAAATACAAAAACTAGCCTGGCGTGGTGGTGTGCACCTGTAGTCCCAGTTCCTCTGGAGGCTGAGACAGGAGAATCACTTGAACCCAGGAGGCGGAGGCTGCAGTGCGCCGAGATTGCACCACTGCACTCCAGCCTGGGCGACAGAGCCAGACTCTGTCTAAAAGAAAACCACCGTTTCATATTCGTTAGGATGGATGTCATCAAAGTCTCATTACAACAGGTGTTGGCAAGGATGAGAATAGTTGAAGTCCTCCCACACCGCTGGTAGGAACGTAAAATACTGCAGCCACTTTGCAAAATAGGCAGTTCGGCCAGGTGCGGTGGCTCACACCTGTAATCCCAGCAATTTGGGAGGCCAAGGCAGGTGGATCACCTGAGGTCAGGAGTCTGAAAACAGCTGGCCAACGTGGCGAAACCCTGTCTCTACTAAAAATACCAAAATTAGCCTGGCATGGCGGTGCTTGCCGGTAATCCCAGCTACTAGGGGGGCTGAGGCAGGAGGGTCGCTTGCACCTGGAAGGTGGAGGTTGCAGTGAGCCGAGATCGTGCCACTGCACTCCAGCCTGGCGACTGGAGTGAGGCTCCATCTAAAAAAAAAAAAGTTGATAGCATTAAGTGGAAGCAACGCAAATATCTATCAACTGAAGAACGGATAAAGGAAATGTGACAGCCGGGCGCGGTGGCTCGCGCCTGTAATCCCAGCACTTTGGGAAGCCGAAGCAGGTGGATCACCTGAGGTCAGGAGTCTAAGACCAGCCTGACCAACATGGAGAAACCCCCATCTCTACTAAAAATACAAAATTAGCTGGGCCTGGTGGCGAATGCCTGTAATCCCAGCTACTTGGGAGGCTGAGGCAGAATCGCTTGAACCCGGGAGGCACAGGTTGCGGTGAGCCCACATCGCGACATGGCACTCCAGCCTGGGCAACGAGAGGGAAACTCCGTCTCAAAAAAAAAAAAAATGTCATGGTCATGCAACAATATTGGTAATGAGAAAGGAAGGGAGCACTGCGACAGGCTACAACATGGATGAACCTTGAGGACGTTACCTAAGGCAAAGAAGCCACAAGAGACCACATACGGCTTGATGCTATCGTTATAAAAGTCTAGAATAGGGCAGAAAGTAGAATTGCCTGCAGTCAGGAGGATGGGTATTGGGGAACTGGGGATTGCAGGACTCTGCGAACACCTTAGAAACCACTATAGCTTCTATGGTTAAATTATATAATATGTGAATTATATCTCAGTAAAACTGGGGTGAAAAAAGAGGACAAAGCAGGGAAGTCTGAAGATGCCCCGTTTCCCGCCCCCGCCCCAGGGCGACATGTCCCACGTTGAGCTGCGGAAGTGTAGGGGGTGGGGAAATATTGGAGGCGAGATAAGGGGTGTGGCCTGAAAGACAGTGTCAGGGTACAGGGTGCCTGGGAGGGCAGGGGTGAGTGGATGCGATGGTTCAGGGCAGTGGTGAGCAGTGTCCTTCGGGGTTGCAGGTGATGCGGGGGATGAGAGGATGCCTCGCCTCTTGGGGACTCTAGGACATGGGGACAAAGGGACACAGGGATACGGGCTCAGCCTCCAGGACGCGGGAACTCGGGCTCCGTTGCCAGGGAGCGCGGAGAGCTGCACCGGGCTCGGCCGCTGGGGGAGTCTGCCAAGCCGGGCGGGCGGGCGAGCGCTTGCAGAGACAGCTCCCTACCCCAGGAGCCGCCCCCATCCCCAGGACATGACCGCACAGCCCTCCCGCGTCCGCCCCTGCCTTTGGCGACCCCAGCCCCTGGCGACCCCAGCCCCTGCCGACCCAGCAGGGTTCGGGTTTTTTATCTCATTAGGAAAAACGAACTATCATTAAAAATTGAAATTAAATTTGCTGGGCGCAGTGGCTCATGCATGCAATTCCAGCGCTTTGGGAGGCCCAGGAGGGAGGATCACTTGAGGCCAGGAGTTTAAGACCAGCCTGGGCAACAGAGCGAGACCCCCCTCTCTACAAAAACTTAAAAATTAAAATTAAATAATAAATCTAAATATATAATTTAATTTTAAAAATAGAAAAAAAAACCCCTAGAATTCCATCATGGAAAAACATCAGCAAGAGTGGGAAAGCATTCCGATGCCCTCGCCGCAGGCGTTTCTGGGGCCCTCCTTTCATGGTTGAACACAGTGCTTTGGGATCCACTAGGTAAAAGGGTCCCACGGGCTGAGGAGAGAAGTCCCCAACACATGGGTACATTTCAGAGGTGCTGACAAAGCTCATGCAGAGGACAGAGCAATTTGTGCAAAAATTAATTAATTTTTTTTTTTTTAGTCGGAGTATCGCTCTGTCGCCAGGCTGGAGTGCAGTGTCAAGGTCTAGCTCACTGCTACCTCTGCCTCCCACGTTCACCCCTGCCTCAACGTTCAGCTAATTTTTTTTTTTTTTTTTTAAATTTTAGTAGAGATGGGGTTTCACCATGTCGGCCAGGATGGTCTCAAACTCCTGACCTCGTGATCTGCCTGCCTCGATCTCCCAAAGTGCTGGGATTACAGGCTTAAGTCACCACACCCAGCCACAAAACAGTTCTTCTATGCATAGCGTTCACTCAACTATTCCACAAATAAATTTCGAGAGCCTCCTCCCTCATGGGGCCTGGACCTGAGGCCAGCTCAGCAACCACTGAGAAGCAAATTCCCCAACCTCCAGGGGCCAGTTGCTGGCAGCCAAAGGACACTCGAGGGACAGAACAGTGATGTCAGGCCATGGAAGGAGCCACAGAGGAGATGGTGGCCCCAGCTACTTTAGACAGGCGGTCAGGGAGGGCCTTCCTAGGAGGGCAGCACCATGTGGGCAGGGACCTACCAGGAGACCTGAGGCCAGGTCAGCAAGACAGGGGAATGGGGGAGGAGAACACAGAGAGGTGCCAGATTCGAAATGGCCTAGAAGGCAGAGATCGCCAGACTTCATCTTAAACATGCTGGGAAGCCAGGCAGAGGTTTTGAGGAAATTATTAAAAACACACTGTGACATCTGTATGTGAGTGCGTTAAATCAAGGCCAAGCATGAAACTACTTACTGAGAATGTTCTTTATTGGCTTTTCTTTTGTTTTCTTCGTTGTTTGTTTGTTTTTAGACAGAGTGAGATGCTCACCGCAACCTCTGCCTCCTGGTTCAAGTGATCCTCCTGCCTCAGCCTCCTGAGTAGCTGGGATTACAGGCATGCGCCACCATGCATTTTTGCATTTTTAGTAGAGACAGGGTTTCACCATGTTGGCCAGGCTGCTCTCGAAATCCTGACCTCAAGTGATCCGCCCTCCTTAGCCTCCCAAAGTGCTGGGATTACAGGCATGAGCCATTGCACCCAGCTGATTTTTGGTTTTTGTTTTATTTTTTTATAATCTGGAGACAGAGTCTTGCTCTGTTGCCCAGGCTGGAGTGCAGTGGCGCAATCATAGCTCACTGCAGCCTCAAACTCCTGAGTTCAAGGGATCTTCCTGCCTCAGCCTTTCAAGTGGCTGGGACCACAGGTGCACCCCATCATGCTTGGCTAAGTTTATTTTTTGTAGAGATGGGCTCTCACTATATTGCCCAGGCTGGTCTCAAACTCCTGGACTCAAGTGATCTCCCACCTGGGCCTCTCAAAGCGCTGGGATTACGGGTGTGAGCCACCTTGCCTGACCCAATTTATTATTATTATTATTCCGAGTTTCCCATTTCTTCTGACACTAACTCTGTCTCCTGCACGGGGAGAGCTGTGCCACTAACCCTTGGGCTGCAATCAGGAGCATCACTGTGGGTGGCCCTGTGGAGACTCCAAGGTCTGGGTGGGGTCAGGGTGCACATAGCGGTACAGACCCTCCTCCTGGTGGAATGAGCCCTGGTTCCCCAGCGGGTAGCAGCTCCAGCAGGCCCTGCTCCGTTGTGTCTGACTACCCAATGTATGTGCCACAGATGGGGAAATGGGCCCAGGGCCTCCCTGGGGGTCCCGGTGAAGCCAGTTGGGTTCCCCAGGGTCCTCCGCCAGCCTGAGTGCCGTCCCCTCGTGTGGCAAACAGGCCACTGCTCTCTCACCCACCACAGTGCCAGGTCTGACCTTGGAGAGAGGGTCCTGGTCGCCCCAGATCAATTTCTCCGGCACCTCGTGCTTCTCGGGTAGCAGCTGTGGTGGTTCCCTGGAGGCCAGGGGGTCCAGAGTGGCCAGCAGCTGCACGTTTCTGCGTGTCTGCGGGATTGGAAGCTTGAAACGGCCTGAGGCCCTCACCAGGGTTCCCCAGGACGCCTTGCCGGGACAGTAACCGCCAGTGGGGGCCGAGGGTGGGGGCAGCTTGCAGTTCTTGTCCGGGGCTGTCCGGGAGCACCGCGGCGGGGAAGCCATTTCGAAGTCCAGCCCGCGTGTGGCGGCCCGCAGGCCTGGCTGGAAACGGTGGCGCCTCGTGCCCACGTGCACACACGGGCCTTTGGAGGCGCGCGCTACTCTGGGCCTGCGACCTCACTGCCTGCTCACCCGCTGGGTGAAAAATGGTGCCACCCCATGCAGCGCATGTTACCCATAGAAAAATGGGCTTTGCAGCCGGCGCTGTGGCTCACGCCTATAATACCGGCACTTTGTAAGGCTTAGACGGGAGGATCACCTTAAGTCAGGAGTTTTTGAGACCAGCCTGGCCGACATGGTGAAACCACGTCTCTACTGAAAAAAAAAGAATTAGCCAGGTGTTGGGGCGCATGCCTGTAGTCCCAGCTATGCAGGAGGCTGAGGCAGGAGAATGGCTTGACCCCAAGAGGCAGACGTTGGAAAAAAAAAAGAGGGGGGAGGGGCTTTACGTTCTGAGAACAAGAGGAACCAGGTGGAGGAAGCAAAACCAGCGCCCCAGCCTCAGCCCTCTCCTGGGGTTTCCCTGGCTCCCTGTCACAGGGCAATTTCAACGTGTCTTCGGCCTGGGTAGGGCTCCTGGCCAACCCACTTCATGTCAAAACAGAAAAAGTCAGTAAGTTATGACGTGGCCCCTGTACAAAAGCAGATGTATGCAGTTATTAGGGGCAGGTTTACGAAACTGGTAATAGCATGAGGGAGCTATCTGCCACAATGCCAACAACAGTAAGAGAACAAAATGCTACCACCAGTCAGATAGCCCCATAGCTAGAAAAGGACTAGGTGGAATTATTCAAAATGTTGAGGGGTGTCACTTTTGGGTGATAGTAAAAGTGATTTTCTTCCCTTTTTTTCTTTGGAGACAAGAGTCTGTGTCACCCAGGCTGCTGCTGGAGTGCAGTGGCGCAATTTCAGTTCACTGCAGCCTCCACTCCAGGGTTCAAGGGATTCTCGTGCCTCAGCCTCCCACAAAGCTGGGGTTGCAGCCGTGTGCCCACCAGACCTGGCTAATCTTTTTGTATTTTTAGTAGAGACGAGATTTCGCCATGTTGGCCAGGCTGGTTTCGAACCCCTGGCCTCAAGTGATCTGCTGGCCTTGGCCTCCCAGTGTTGGGATTACAGGCATAGGTCACTGCACCCAGCCTCTTCCTTCTTTCTGCTTTTAAAATTGTTGTGATCTATGATGCAACTTTCATAATGTAAAAGTGTTCTGTACCTTATTTTTTGTAGAGACAGGAGTCTCTATGTGGCCCAGGCAGGCCTGGAATTCTCCGGCTCAAGTGATCCTCCTGCCTCAGCCTCCCAAAGCTCTAAGATTACTGGCGTGAGCCACCACACCTGGTCTGTACTTCTATTTTTTGAAAAAGTCTCCTTGGTGCACATGAGGTAGCCTGTGGTCATGTAACCCAGGCTGTGGGTGCACATTCTCCCACTGGTCTCTCTGCCTGCCTTAGACACTTGAGTGACGTCTACCCTGAGAGGCTGAGGCCCCCTGTCAGGCCCTAGATCTTCCCTCTCATGAGGCTTCCTGGGCACCAGCCACCCAGAGAGGGAAGAGCTTCACTCCCAAGAAACAGCAGAAGAGGCCACAACCACCCTCTCTCATATACGTGTCCTTCAGTGAGTCCAGACTGTCTTCATCACAAAACCAGAGAGAAACTTTCATTTTTAACTTCTTTTTTTTTTTAAGGAGATGGCTATTATTTTAATATTCTCTGTATTTTTTTCCTTTTTTTTAATTGCATTTTAGGTTTTGGGGTCACTTTTAACTTCTAACGTCCTAGAATATTTTTTAAAAATCGAGACGAAAATAGAAAAATTCCACTTTAATTAAACTGTTCAGTCTGGATTTTTCCTCTGACACTAACTGAAATTAAAAATAGAAATCAATTTCTGCGATCTTTCAAAGCAGTCGTTGAAATGTCAAGGTTTTAAAAATGATTTTACAGCAGGAATTTACATATAAATACACTCTGTACAAGACATTAACTGAACAATCACTGGGCTTCCATCATGGAGGAGAAATGATTCTAGGACAAGCCAGGGCATCCTTCAATTATTGCCTTCTTAACGGAAGACATTTCAGCCTGGAAAAGAAAATAGAAAAGAGAAATGGAAAGTTAGCTAGGAAGTGAAAAACCAAACAGCTCTGTTGAAGCTGAGAATGCCAGGCCTCCCCAGATCACAGCAGCACGTCTGAACCTATAAAACGCCCACATGATAACCCACAATCAAGTACTGTCTCATCTTTGCTCTTAAAATGTGTCTTCTACTACCCTGAAAACACAGAGACTCACTCACCCACACCTCGTACTAAGATATTAAGATCAGGCTGGGCGCAGTGGCTCACGTCTTATAATCCCAGCACTTTCGGAGGCCGAGGTGGGTGGATCACGAGGTCAAGAGATCGAGACCATCCTGGTCAACATGGTGAAACCCCGTCTCTACTAAAAATACAAAAATTAGTGGGCATGGTGGCACGCGCCTATAGTCCCAGCTACTTGGGAGGCTGAGGCAGGAGAATTGCTTGAACTCAGGAGGCGGAGGTTGTAGTGAGTCGGGATCACGCCATTGCACTCCAGCCTGGGTAACAAGAGCAAAACTCTGTCTCAAAAAAAAAAAAAGATATTAAGACCTTTTTTGTTTTGCTTTTTTTTGAGACAGAGTTTCGCTCTTGTTGCCCATGCTGGAATGCAATGGTGCGATCTCAGCTCACTGCAACCTTTGCCTCCTGGGTTCAAGGGATTCTCCTGCCTCAGCCTCCCAAGTAGCTGGGATTATAGGTGCGTGCCACCATGCCTGGCTAGTTTTGTATTTTTAGTAGGGACGAGGTTTCTCCATGTTGGTCAGGCTGGTCTCGAATTCCCAACCTCAGGTGATCCACCCACCTCAGCCTCCCAAAGTGCTGGGATTAAAGCCATGAGCCACCGTGTCCAGCCAAGACCATTTTTAAAAGCAACTTTTTCCCTAGTCTTACTTAGCCTTGAGAATACAAGCAATTTTTAATCAGTTTCACTCACCTACCTTATCCATTGCATGACCCTTGGGAAGGAACTAAAATATATTCACTCCAGGACCCAAGTTTGAAATGGCCTTTTCATTTTTTTTTAGAGAGAGACAGGGTCTCCCTATGTTGCCTGAGCTGGTCTCGAACTTCTGGGCTCAAGTGATCCTCCCACCTTGGCCTCCCAAAGTGCTGGGATTACAGGGATGAGCCACCATGCCCAGCCCCCAAGTTGTCAGTCTTAAATCTCAATTTCATATATAGGAATGCTTGTGGCAACTCTATTCAAAACAGAGCTGGGTGACACTGGCTACAGATCCCTGTTCCACAGCCTCAAAGTAGAAAAGCCAGTGTCCACAAAATAGAGGAGATAAACACACTGTGGCATGCTCACAAGAAGGAATCTTCCACAGCAATGGCTACAGGCCCGTCACTGCCGCCCACGATCACCTGAAGGAAGCTCGTAAGCCAGACACTCAGAGTTCACACAACACAGTTCTTCCACATAAAGATAAAACTGGCAAGAGTAAGCTGGTGCAGTGGCTCCCGCCTGAGGTTAAGGCAGGAGGATCACCTGAGGCCAGGAGTTCGAGACCAGTCTGGGTAACATAAGAGATCCCATCGCTACAAAAAACTTTTTTTTTAATTAGCTGGGCACGGTGGTGCACACTTACACTCCCAGCTACTCTGGAGGCTGAGGTAGGAGGATCCCTTGAGCCAGACAGACAGAGTTTACAGTGAGCCGTGATCAGGCCACTGCACTCCAGCTTGGGTGACAGAGGAAGACTCTGTCTCAAAAAATAAAATTCATACCCTAGAAATATATGCTATATGAAATTGTATTACTTATATTTAAAATGTGCACAAAACTGTGTGCATAGGCCGGGCATGGTGATTCACCTGTAATCCCAGCACTCAGAGGCTGAGGTGGGTATATCACTTGAGGTCAGGAATTCAAGACCAGCCTGGCCAACATGACGAAACCCTGTATTTACTAAAAAAAAAAAAAAAAAAAAAAAATTAGCCAGGCGTTGGGGCAGGAGCCTGTAATCCTAATTACTTGGGAGGCTGAGGCAGGAGAATTGCTTGAACTCAGGAGGCAGAAGTTGCAGTGAGCCAAGTAACTCAGAGTGAGACTCTGTCTGAAAAAAAAAAAAAAATGTGTACGTGTGTCCACGTATGTGAGTGTCTGTGTGTGGGGTTGCACAAAAAAGGTCTTAAAGGTACATATGAAACTGGTGGCAGAGGTTACTGTGAAAAAAGTAGAGGTTTGGAGAATTGGTCAGGGCTGGAAGTACTACCTTTAAGTAGTAGCTGTAAGGTCTGAGTTTTCATAATGATAATATATTCATATCACTTACATAACTAGATATTAAAACTTTCTTAAAAGCCTAGTTAATATATAAATTTTTTTTCTTTTAGGGAGAGGGTCTTGCTCTGTCACCCAGGCTGGAGTGCAGAGGTGCCACCATGGCTCACTGCAACCTCCAACTCCTGGGCTCAAGTGATCCTCCCGCCTCAACCTCCCAAAGTGCTGGGATTACAGGTCAGCCACTGCACCCCGCCTCCCAATATCTCATTTCTGACATCTGCCTCTAAGCAAATACATCAAGCACTCAGTAAACCTCTAAAAGTTTCTGAAAAACCCCCATCTCCCACTGCCCACCGTCTCAGCAGCTCCTGGGGTGACACGTCCGCAGTTTCCTCACCACTCTGACTGTCGCTGCTGTCGGAGCTCTCGGAGCTGCTACTTTTCTCTGGTTTTTTACTCTTTTGCTTGCCTTTGTGTTTGTGCTTCCTGTGTTTCTTTTTCTGTAAAAAAAAAAAAAAAAATGTCGAGGGGAAACAAATGTATTTTTTCCTCCTTAATTCAATACACAGAAAGGTTAACAAGGCTACAGGGGTAGAGTCATTAAAAAAAAGTTTAAACCTCATTTAGAGTGACAGTGATAGCCTAACAAGACAGCACAGGGCAGACGGCTGCGCCCCCTCAACTGTGCACCCTGACCTGGCTGCGCCTCCAGCAACAGACACCGTGGAACCAAGAAGGCGCAGATGGGATCCATTGTAACACTTGGTGCCATAAGACATGACACCACACATCTTATGCGTGGGACCTGTGCCACCTCCGATGAACCCTACTTGTTTATTTTGTCAGGCCCCTGGGAAACTTTATGTCAGGATGACAGGCACCCAGGAGAACCGCAAGGAAGAACCCGGCAGGTCACCCAGCAGCAGATACACTGGTAAGGACAAACGGATTGGGTTTTCTTCCTTTCACTACGAGGGAACACCTGTCATCCTCCACATGTGGGAGTGCTTCCTTCTGGTAGCCAGTGATGACACTGTTTTCAGTTTCTTCAGTACTGAAGACTGAAGACTACTTTGGGTACCCAACAAGAACATTAACCTAATTAAAACCCAAAAGAAGACATGGATGATGAAATAAGAGACGTCAACAGTGAAAGCACACGCCTGCCTTCTATTCAACTTCTTTTACTTCAAATGGCAAGTGAAGGACGAAAACCTCAAATTGTAATAAAAACAAAGTAGTTGAGAAATGCTGAAAATAATACTTTCACTTAGTGTTGAATAAATAAGAAATAAATAGTTTTATTATTTAATACTCACCTATTGCTCTAAGATCCTTAAATGCCCTTTTTTCTACTTTTTAATGTTCACAAAAAAGTTTTTTTAAGGGTCAGACACGGTAGCTCGCGCCTGTAATCCCAGCACTTTGGGAGGCCGAGGTGGGTAGATCACTTGAGGTCAGGAGTTTAAAACTAGCTTGGCCAATATGGTGAAACCCGGTCTCTACTAAAAATACAAAAACTTAGCTGGGCATAGTGATACACGCCTGTACTCCCAGCTGCTTGGGAGGCTGAGGCAGGAGAATCACTTGAACCCTGGAGGCGGAGGTTGCAGGAGGCGGAGGTTGCAGGAGTCGAGATCACGCTGCTGCACTCCAGCCTGGGCAACAGAGTGAGACTCCATCTTAAAAAAAAAATGTTTTGTTTTAAGTGCAAAAGAAAATGCTTCTGAAAAATCAGGGGTTTGCATTGACTGTGCACAGAACTGACTTAGCCACGAGATCCACTCTGCAGCTGCGGTATATGACACTCCTGGGGGCTGACCGACTGGTCCCATGCCACACTGATCCTGGGCATGCAGAGAAGTCTCTCACCTTCTCTTTCTTCCGCCTGTGCTCTTTCTTGACCTTGTGCTTGTCTTTGTTCTTTTTATGTTTCTCTTTTGGAGGAACCTCAAGGGTCTGACGAGCATCTGAAACACAAAGGTAATAAACGCAGGACCTATACAGGATGAAAACAAAGACTATGGAAAACTAAGCTCCTAAATTACTGAATCAGGTGTCTAGTGTAGATGGAATGGTTAAGGGAGGAAGGACTCCTGCCCTCAGATTAGCTTCTGTCTCACTGATAAACAGATCAGCACACCACCTTGCAGAGATGTATTTAGAAAGCTGCCAGAGACCTCAACAAAGACCTGTGTGGATCCAGTCAGTATCCTGCCATGACCCCAGCTGCCAGATGCAGATAAAATCAGACCAGAAAGCCCACAAGCCTTTTGAAATTCAACATCGTCAGATAAGCTCAGAAACAGACCGGAAGTGGAACTCAGCTCTGCTGTCAGTACTGTGACCTTCA